TTGTAGACAGAACCGAGAATCATTGTAGCGGAGGCTTAATATTTGTCGTACGACAAATTTTTCAAGCGTGTCGATTGGCCGCTGAATAGAAAGTTTCTAGATACTCGAGAATTTTACTATCCTTCAGCCAATCAATACGCTTAAAAACTTTGTCGTACGACAAATGTAATACCAGCCTAAGGCTTACAGCTTAAGGCCTTCACACATAAAATTCCGTAAGGACGTAAAACGTAAGCATAAGAAAATCGACCAATCACAGTCGAGAACGTAAGGCAATGACGCAAGAGTAGCAAATCCAATCTGTTGATTTTCTTACGCTTACGTTTTACGTTCTTACGGAATTTTATGTGTGAAGGCCTTTAGTTCCAGTCTACAATAGAGATTTAAATCCCAAGCCTTAAGAAATTGACCAATCACAGTCGCGTATTCTACTCATACTTGACCGTGATTGGTCAACCCGTTTTGCATTTTGGGACTACGCAAGAATTCATCATTGTGGACTATCCAAGACAATTCGTTGGAATGTATGTATGTGCAAGACAGCTTTGCAACTGTTGTAAAATTCGCGAATCTGATTGGCGTATTCTCTCAATCTTGAGTGAATTTAAGAGCATACGCCAATCAGATTCACGATATTTTACAACAGTTGCGAAGCAGCTTTCTCTGCCGAACGCAGCCATTGATAAATGATTTTCGCGCGCGTGGCCCACCCTTCCCTCTCCATGCGAACCGGATTGCGATTGTCGCGCCGTTGTGCAACGGCCATAAGGCATACGGCGTGAATAGTTCCAGGAATCAGGAATCGAGAGGCTCGATACGCAGCGAGGGAGGGGGAATCGATCGCCGGGGACGAACGGGGGGCGGGGGGGGGGGGGTAAACGATAGTCGGCCGCGTTCAGAGCGGTCTGCTGACGTTCCACTCAAAGATGGCGTTGACGAGTGCGCCATGTTTCTCGTGATGTCCGAGCGTTAGAGAAGAAACTTTTTCGGAAAGCGTGAACCGCATGAGCAAAATGGCTGATGATGACCCGTGGCTACTGAAGGAAGACGGCTGCTTGAACGTGGACACCGAGTGCAAGAGCATAATCTATCACGCCAATCTAAACGTTCTGCTCATCACCACTGGCAGCGCACAAGTATACGTGTTCGATGTCAACTCCGGCGTGATCCTGCAGAGGAGTTCCCTGTCGGGTGAGCATGCGGCCCTCCTCGCCGTCGGATCGATCCTCCCCCCGCGGGAGAGGCTGTCCCGCCCCCCCCGTCCCGCGACCCGACGCCGGGACGTGCGGCGGGTCGTCCCGTCGGCCGACCCCGACGTCCGGCCGTCCCTGTCGCGGCTGTCCCGCTCCGATGTTTGCGGAATACTGTGCAACAATCGGGGGGCCCCCCACGCGGCTCAAGGTCGCGCACCGGTTCTCCCGAGTCGCGCGATCCGGCGCGCGGCGACGCTTCCTCCGCCTCGTCGGGGCCTCCCGGGCGCGAGGGGCTCGCCCGCGCCCCTCGGAGCGGGCCGTTTCCTCCCCCCCGTCGGTCCGCAGGAAACGGACCTCGTGGCCCGTTCCATTCCGGCCGCGCGCTTTCCGCGCCTCCCCGCGATTTTCCCGCGAATTTCCTTTGTTCCGGCGAGGAAATCCACTCGATTCTCGGGAGATGTAACGTGCGACGCAACCGAGAGGAATCGAATCTGCGCGTCTATAATTGCGCGCCGCCCCGACGACGTTCTTTGTTATTGTTCCTGCTAAACGCCACCGCCAGCAATCCTGCAAATTGCTCGGGCACGTGCTCGAGTCTCGATCGGTGCTCGGGGATTCACCGCCGCGCGAAGGGAGTTTAGTCTTTGGTATGAATATAATTGAGCAAAAATGTGGGAAGTCGGAGCTTAAGTAAAACTGCGACTTGCGTTTCTTGTAAACGCGGCGTTTGTAAGATTTTTGCTTAATCTTTCGAAGATTATATTTAAAATATTAGTATTTATATTATGTAAGATATATATTATTTAACGGACGGCCGAACGATTTAACGCACAAAGATTCCAGGACGATACAGTGAATATTATACGATAGGTATTTTAACATTTGACGTTAGCGTTTCGCGCAGTGACTGAAATGAGAGTAATGGATTTTTGTAACGTTTCGCACCAACTTTTATTTGGAGCGTACGTTTGTTTACGCACCACTGGAAATGCGTCGGCGTTGAAAGTGAAATGTGAAAAGTTGCAAGGCGTTTATATCATAATGGCGATTGTTGCAGGTAAACCAAATGGGAAACTCCAAGGGATATATTTATCGGATGGAATAGACAAGGTACTGTACACGGACGGTCGAGGGATTGGCATACGTAGCGATTACAATGGGGTATTGCTGTTGGACACAATTCTGCAAACCCCAGTTGCTAAGAGCGAGGATGTCGTGAAACTGGAGCTGTTGCTGTCGGAGGCGACGATATTGCTTCAATGCCTACAGTGCGTGGAGTTGCCGGGTGTGGAACATTTGCTGGAGGTGCTGCAGGAACTCTCGAGTAAAATTGTTACGGCGCAAGCGAATCAGAAGAAGGGTATTAAAGCTCAAAAAGTGAGTTTGCGTTTACAGTTTGTCAAATTGTAACGTTGTACCCTTTAAAGAAACACAAAATTGATGATTGTATATGCTGGACTGTTATGGAGTTAATTTAGATTATGGCTGTTTATGGTGAAAAGTGAATTAATTATTGAGTCGAGATGTATTTTTCAGTGTTTGCTAGAAACTTAAAATAACTATTGTAGTTAATTTAGATTATAGCTGTTTATGGTGAAACAGTAAGTGAATTATTTTTAAGTCAAGGTATATTTTGCAGTGTTTGCTAGGAACATAAAAGATTTTTTAGCAGCTTAATCTTTGTTCTTTGTGTAAATATACGATGTATACGATAGTATTTTTGGTCAATTAATTTTGAGCAAGTTTTATTTCAGAGGAGATTTAAACAATCGATTATAGAGATCTTTAGCGTTGAAAGGTCCAAATTTATGTTACATAATTAGCTGCAGGAAAATTAAAAATATTGTTAAATAGATTGTTCTGTATTTTCTGCTGAATATAGATCAAAGCAATTTGTACACACACATATATATATATATATATATATATATAAGATATGCATTTATTTAGGAAATGTTTGTATCATGTACTAATACGTCAATGTTAAAACGCCGCGTATGAAAAATAATGTACAAAATTCTAATTGCAGTGGAACACGATATGTTTGGAGCTACCGCACGGATCTTTGAAGCTCGTCTGTTCTGGCTTAGTGATGGAATTAAAAAGGCAAAATCGGCATATAGCAGCACTGCCCATTGCCTCCGCGATCAATGAACGACTAAATGGCCTACTGCCTAGTCTCGCGTTAGAAGGTGGTCCCACTGATAGAGCGTTAATGTTTAGCGAAGCAGCGCGTCGTAATACTTTTCCAAAATGGCCACATATGAATTACAAGTATGTAATCGTGTCTCAACTCAAATATAGATAACAACGTAGCTACTTTTCCTTGGCAACTCTTAAAAATTTGTCCCACACTCGTGTTTGTGGCAATGAGTGCAGCTGGACTTGCGATGCAGTCGTCACGAAATTATAACTGAACTTGTATTTCAGATGGGCTTTACCTGACCAAATGGCGCAGGCTGGTTTCTATCACGAGCCGAATGCCACAGGTGACGATAGGGCTATGTGTTTCACTTGTAATGTGTGCTTGGTGTGTTGGGAGCCCACGGACGAGCCATGGTCGGAGCACGAGAGGCATTCGCCCGCGTGTCCCTTCGTTAAGGGCGAATACACTCAGAATGTTCCATTATCCGTCACTCTCGCAACAGCTCCCGCTCGCGAGGCAGGCGATGCAGTGGACGTTGTAGGTACTACTAATGTCACAGGCCTCGCGGCTACAGCCTCTTCCAATGGTTTTGTAAATATTTGGAATATAACGAATCAGTTAAAGGTAAGCGAAATTTCCATGCTGCGCAAAATCTGCGAGCGGCTTTTTATACATAAGTTATTTACTTGAAAAATTAAGTCTGACATACATCTTGGTGTACGCGAATCTTTTTTCTTCTTATTAAAGTAACACACTGCACCGTTATTTTGCAGAGAGAAGTATCATTTTATATATCGCCCCTGGATCAAGAAGTAAACAATAAGGAATCGGTTCAGTTTTGTGCCGCGAGAAATCTGACGCCTCCATATTTAACGAACCTCGGCTCGGACTCTGATCCACTTTCGGAATACAAGCCCTCGTCGTTCTATAAAGTGCAAGTCACGGCGCTCTCGGTGGTGGGATCTCCGGCAGTCCTGAAGGAGGAAGCGAAAAGCACCAACTCCACGACCTCGTCGTCTATAAACATCGAGACGGCGGAGCATAAAATTCGACCGTGCTTAGTGTGCGGGGTTACAGTGACGGTTAATAATCCCTCGCAGTTAAGAACTTTAGAGAACGTGTGGGCCGCCTCGAGCGATCTAGCGAGCTCGTCGTCGTTGGTTCGCGCGATGAACAGTGTAAATAGTGCTGCCAGTGATACTCTAGATATAATGAAGGTAGCGGGTGATAGGTACATATCGTCAAGGTTGCATTACTTAGTGCTGTACGACTTTCATCATAAGGCCGCGACGGCGCAACCCACCAAGGAGGACAATTCTAAAGAATCAAAGACTAAGAAGACCCTATCTGGAACGGGAACTAGCGCCAGCTCGAACGGCGGACGCCAAGAGAGCCTGTACAATGAGCTCTTCCTCGGTAAAATTTTTTATGAAGTGCCAGTTATCGAAGATGTAGACTCGGACATGGTAGTCGGTCCACCTTACGACGATATCTTCCCGCCCACCACTCTAACCGCCTCGTCCTCCAACGGCATTTATACGAGTCCCATTGGCCCCATTGGTATTCCCTTCGTCCCTGCCCCGACTACGTCGACCCCCTACAATCCCACTTTCCCTCCCATCAACGGCTCCACCCACTTCGCATCGACGTCCGACCTGACAACGATAAATAAAAAGAGCTTAGACCTTATGAAGATCACCAAGGCGGAGCCGGTGGTGATCAAGACGCTGGCGATAAACGCCCCGGACTCGCTCCGCATCACGTATATAACCGCGTCCAAGGACGGGAGATACCTGTATGTCGCGATGTGCCCCGCGGCGGATAACGCCTCAGTCGAATCTTCCTCGTCGAACACCAATCAGATGGACGTTGACGACGAGAGCGATTTCTTCCCGCAAAAAAGTTACATGTACTGGGACCATAACGACAGCCAGTCCAGCAAATTGATTAACGGCGAGATCCACGGTAATGAGAGCAGCGCGAACGCCACGCTGCTCGTGTACGCCCTGGACTTCACGGGCCCGGTAGTGAAAGTGGCGTCGGAACCGCTGGTTAAGCGAGAACTACCTTTGGAGCAGGCGCCGGTAGAGCATGTGCTCCTCCCTCTCCAAGAGAAACAAAAGTGCACGTCGTTTTCTACTAACTCTAGTACCAATTCCACTAGCAATTCGGCCATTCAGGAGCCTGCCGGACAAGTTGCCCTCGTGTGCAAGGACGGTGTGGTCAGATTGTTAAATTTAAGCACGCTGAAGACTGTGACGGAGGCGAGATTAGATGGAAAGAAATTCATTTCTGCGACTTATTGCAACAGTAAGTGTCATTCTTCAGGTATTTTTTAAAAAGGAAACAAACGAGAGCAATTGGGGAGAATTGATCTGGAATATTCATGATGAGTGTGTCGTGAACCCGTGCGATGAGACTGCTGGCTTTTTCAGGTTTGGAAAGGCTGTGTGTGTGCACGAGCGACGGCACGTTGCATTTCTTCATTACTGCGGAGGAGGAGGACTCGGCGGAGGAGAAAGACGATGTCGACGATGTGAACATGGGTAGCGAGGGAAGCTGCACCTGTGAAAATATAGCTCCTAGTACGTCAACGTCGTCGATTTGTTAGTAAGTTTCATGCAGCCGAGCACTTTCAAAGCTGTACAATGCGTTTCTCGCAATATTATTTATAAAACACTGTGCGAACGCTACATCTTTTGTATGCGTCTAGTAACTCTTGAATGTTTGAACGTTTCAGCGACGAGCTATTAGCGCATAAACCAAATCTCTCTTACTGGGACTTAGGGCTGTTATATGAACTTACACGATTCAGTCGACATTCCCCCGCGTATAGCGCGACCGTCCCTCCGTGTTGGAGCGAAATGATGCAGGCTCAGAGACAAAGACGCCATCCGCAGCATCTTCATCAATCGGAAGATCAGCATCATACAAGAACATGGCGGTTGCAAAATGATTCGTAAGGCGATAATAAACGTCTTCCATTCTGTCAATTGCGGGTCCTCTAAATTATTAAAATATCTATGTTGAAAATTAATAAATTTCAAATCAAATGGTACGCTCTAGCTCTCGGTAGGGAAATTGGACAGAGAACTCGCGGTTGAGAGAGAACACAATTGTAAAGTAATAACGTATTTGTATGTTATGTTAGGACTACTTGGGATGAACACGTATTCGAGCTTACTTTACCACGAAGCGCAGCAGGGAGTATAGGGCACGTTGATGTCCGATTTACCTTGCATGCCTTCTGCCAAGAGTTACCGACTATTCAAGTTACTTTGTTGAAACAAAATATAAAGAGGATCGGCCATCAGAAGATACCAACCACTTCCGTGGACGAGAGAATTGAATTCAACATAGGAACCGAGCAAAAGAGCGAAAATCCGGTCGTCACGGAGGAATATCAGCGTCAGCACAACACCGAGATCCTCTGTGGTCCCATTGACTTGCACCGTTGCGTAGACTTGTCCTGTCGCTCGGGATGCGTAACGTTGACAAGCCCGAAATTATTTCGCTCGAAAGCTAGAACGTTGCTCGTTCACATCAAAGCTTTAATAGATCAAAAGGATGGAGTGAGTAATGTACTTATCAATCTTTCGTTACGTTCTGTCTTTGCATACGATGAAATCGGTATAATTGATTTAACTATTTCATTTTCTTATTCCATTCTTAAGACGTCTGCGAAATCAAAAGCAAATTTAGCAGAAAGTAAACCACCCACTTGTAAAAAGCTGAAGATATTCGAGGTACGTCCGCTCGTGCCTCCTAATGCTGGGGAACGAGGATTTGACGAGAGTGCAAACAGCAAGAAGTTGGGATGCTACGTTGGTAAATAATCCAAGGATTTATTAATCTTCTAATAAAATATCTTTTATGTAATTTATGAAGAAAATTTTTATGTACTTTCTATACTCTGATAATTGTACTGTCGCCAAATTTTTATAATTAATAAGATGCGCTGGTTGTCTTGCATTTGAAAACTTTGCGCAAGAGCTGAACACACTTTCTATTTAAGGTTGCAATTGGATTCACGAGATCTCCATTACCGTGAGATCAGTAAACCCCACTAGCATGCCTGACGAAAGGATGCAGAGATGTGCTATGTTAGAATCGAAAACCTTTGTCGATAATCTTTTGAATGTTGCATGCTTGCAAGTACCTGTCGAGTAAGTAACAAGATAATGGAAGCTTAACAATGTTCGAGCTTGTAGAAAATTAAGTTGATACTTAAATAAATATGTTTTCAGGTCTCCCGTCGTACAATCTATGGCTCTTGACATTTTAATATGGGTAGCTTCAATAAGATTAACAAGATTGCGCAGTATTCAGAATAGTACGGAGATTAAGGCTCTTCAATTGGAGACAATACGTTCCGTGCAAGGACGATTATCCAGCTTATTGCGAACGTGCCTCTTGCACGCTGGCAGAAGTATAGCGCACAAATGCGTTAAATTGATCGTTCTATGCAGCGGGTGAGCGGTCATTCGTAATAATATCGGCGTACAACATATTATTTGAAGAATTTGCAAACAGACAGGTTTATTATTCTTTTCAGAGGGTTTTATAACATAGAGGATTCGCCGGCTCAAACCTTCGACGAGGCCATGCTCTCCGTATTGGTCAACTTGCTGCCGTCAATAGTAGAAGTTCACTGGGCTGGTTCATTAAGATGGCTTCAATTACTCATCACCAGATTTTTGCCATTAGATAGAAATTACAGTATTGCACATAAATGTGTCTCCCTGGTGCAACAAATAGCCACTGAGATATCTAATAGAGTGAATCCTTACCATTTGCTGTTAGCTACGAGGTTGAGTATTTGTTCAACCGCTGTCTTATAAAATGTCTATATATTTTCTTATTGTGTCGTAATCTTAATAAATAAATTTCTTTCAAGGTTCGGTCTATATAACACGCCCTTTGAAACGGAACTTTTCGACTTGGAGCCACCAATGTTACCAAAGTTTAGTTCAATACCTGTAACATACGCGTCCGTTGTAGCCAGCGATCATCATCACACAGGCCCATCTGTCGCTTCATCAAGTGCTGTACACTCGTCCAAGATATCGCAGGATTCTATTGATTTGAGGGACCTACTCACACTGCCTACGCATCCCGCTAGTGAATTTGTAATATCCAGCAAATTAAAGGCATTGTGTGCCAATCACAATATGAAAGGTCTCCTCGAGGTAATACTATTTTTTAATCAATAAGTTAATTTATATCTCTCGACTCTATTCCATTTTATTTTAATATTTGATATGTCGATTTAGGTTGAACCTCTTCACTTCACTTGTCACGCTGCCTCCGACGGCACGAAGATGGAAAAAATCGATCCTGGCACGAATACAATTAATATTGGACCCACTTTGTATGACAGTACGGCGACAAGCAACAACGGTGTGCCTGATATTAAAACGATACATCATACATATGTAAGTCTCCTGCATGCCATAAAATCTATTGAGAATTGTTTTCGATGAAACGATGTGAATTATTTTGTGATGATGAAATAAGGGCGAACAAATATCGTACAATAACAATAGTATTGTAAATGTCTCGCGCAAATGTGGCATTAGGGCAATAGACTCGAGCAGACTCGAGCACAATTGTAAGATTGGTACAATCTGCGAAATAGTGCACCAAATTCTCAGCGTTCGTAGTCTAGGCAAGGCGACGTTCTTCGTAATTAACAGTGGCTGTGTAACGACCGTTCAAAGTCGTAAACTTGTAAAACGGCATATATACAGTATAGATGTTAGAGTAGATAAATTTTAATTCAGATAGAAATATTAATTGTAGAACTTGGATGCTGGATCGCTAGGACCACATGTTCAGGCTAAACCAGCAGCTACATTAAGCGATCTGCTTAGTATCTATACAGGAAGAGTGCTAAAGAAGCCATCTCCGCAACTATTGCTCACACCTGACGAACAATCAGACTATGACGAAGCTAACGAAATGTCTGGCGACAACCAGACTTGGCATAGCACACAAAATAATATGCCTAGCTCACACATATTAAGTTCCATTGTAACGAAAGAAAAGTCATGCGTACAAAGTATCAATACCGCTGTAAACAAAGTTGAGGAGGGCAATCCTAAGAAGGTAGATTACCTAGTCAAAGACACAAGTGCACCACTCTTATTTTTACATAAACATAAATTCCTGTTTCTGAGTTCAGTGCTACACTATCTTTTCGTCGTTTAATCGCTTTGTTAATATGCTGGTTGTAATAGAGACGTTCGTTCGTTAGAAAATTTTCTATTTGTCAAACGCAGCTGAATGATGTTGAGTGCAAGTTGCATGAGTTATATAAAATTTATTGAATTATGTATTCGATGTTAATATTATCCTTGCATATAATTTTATTACATACATTCATATGCTAGGTTTTCCTCTCATTTGTTTTTCTTTATTTTTAAGTTATTCATGGCAAGATACTAGTTATCAACTAGTTATGTATGTATATTTATATTAACACCATCATTTAGGTAATTCGCATTTTTATATGTATGTGCAGTCGACACAGTTTTTTTTTTACACATTCGCTTTACTGTTTAATGTAATTAGGGCTAGTTTGATTTAATAACGATTTAATATATCAGATAAATTTTTTTTACCTTTTATGTATATGCTGTTATACTACACGCAAAACGTGATGAAAGTTTTGCAACAGTACAAGCAGAGATTCGTCTTTCTATACATATAAATCAACAGATCAAAATCCTATATTCCGAAAATTACAAAGTTGTGATTTATGTTCCAATTTATAATTCAGCTGTTTGAGGTGTGTCATAATTGGCGACTTTAACACAATGACAAGTTCCATAATTAATGTAGAATTGATTTTTTAATCATTAACGTTCTATTGAAATAACATACACTCGAAATTAATTGAAAATATGATTCTGTTATTTGTCATTTTCAGTTTGTGAGGAAATCTTGACTTGTTTGCAATTCGAAAATTATGTTGCTATATGAGAATTATATTAACTAGAAGTCCAACAGAGAATGTGTCATTAAGATTATGGTCGCGGGTCATGAGACAGCGTATATATATAGTATAATTCTTTATATATTTCAGTGTGTCCGAAATGCAATTGCCTTTTCCATAGTAATAATTGCCGCAGTGAATGAAATAGCCATTCCGCTTTCTTATATTTTTGGCACATTGCGTTTGGGAAGTGTTTAAGCGTAAAAAATAATTGTTTCACCAGGATTAATAAACTATGTCTATTTGCAGCGAGAAGATATTACATTCCCATGGGGAAGATTGCTGTGTTGGCCGCCTCAGCAAGCGTTGGTCGTCGAACGGATGCACTCGGGAGCTCGCCGATTTGTTATCTTAGACTTCGGGTCACCTGTACTGCTGACCGATCTGATGATACCTTCGTGCAACGATTTAGTATCGCTGTCCATAGACATTTGGACTAAGAGCGAAGAAATAGATGGCACGCGGCTTATCGTCGCTGGCGATATTGGAAGTAAACCGTTGATTGTATGTGATCTTCAGCCACCGCCTGTATGTAGATATCTCAAGGTAAATACGAAATATATTAATAAATCTTTATTACTCTTTTTCACTTATGCTGTTCATAAATCTCTTTCCGAACTTATTCTTTTTACTCTATAAACCTTGGATATCTCTAAAATATTATTTTTCACAGTTAAAGTTATGATATTTTTATCAACAATATTTTGTTATTATTCCTTTAATTCTTCTTTTTCATTCCTTTCACTGTGTTCGCTTGCTTTTCTCTACCCTCTACTTGTAAAATATTAAGCGAGTTTCATCTATAAATTAATATTTATTTAATTTGATTATTAGATCACTACAATAGGACGCTATGGAATGTCCACGACTACATGTAAAATACCATTAGGAATGTTTTACGGACATATGGTAGTTTTGCCTGGGGAAGATTACTCGGAAGTAAATGATGCTTCGTCATTTGATGCCGACATTTTTGATTCTTCTTTACAAGCTACCATTGATACACAGTGTAACATATTATCAGCTTTAGCGGAAGATGTACAATGCAGGTATTGTATATTAAAATAAAATAAAAGATAAAAGAAATAGCGGTAAAAGAATAAGTATACGCGTGTGTTTTTTTGTTGAGGCATATAAATGTTTTCTTCCTTTCAGATTTAGTTTAGCTACTGAAAGATTGAAAACTTTATTGGACCCATTACTGTGTTCGGAAACCCCTAATGTTATGCATATGCAAAACTATCTGTGTTATAACAAGATATCTAATGAAAGTAAGGAACAGCCATCGGCGAAGATAATGTCGACGTACCAAGTGAGTTATAACGTTATTCTCGGATAAAAATGACTCAAGTTTACTATTCCGATGAAAGATTCGCTGTAATCTTGATTGATATCAGTATGGATATTAATTTGTCACGTTATTGCAGGAATGTATCATGTTCCAACATCAATTAAATGTCGTACGAAGTGTCTGGCGTCGTCTCGAGTGGTGGAGAGGTTTGCGGAATGTGCCAACAACATCCTTCGCAAACGCACCCAGCGACAAACTACGAGTTCTTGAAGAAACTCTACTTGACATTCTACTGTATACTGTGTACGAAATTGGCCCAGTACCTAGTGTACGTATACTTTGTTGCAGATTTTAAATGTTCAAAGTTATAGTTCCGATAAAATGTCGAAGTAATAAAAATATATTTGCGCTTTTGATATCTAATATTAGCGCATTCTCTCTTTATATATGACAAACTTTGTGTACCACACGGTTTTTCTTCTTAAATGTAGGTGTACCGACCAACGTCATTATATGAAGTTTTCACTCCAACAATTTGTGAGAAGTTTTTCCATTCGATATGCGTTGTAACGCCAGCTCCACGTTTACAACTCCATGCTGCTGCGCTCTTAGCTGGCATGGCAGGACATCAACCATGGTGGGGCAACTTCTTATCGAACACTCTGATAAATCTTTACTCGTCGGCGTCAACACACATTTTCCCTCAAGATAGGTGAGGTTTGGAATATCTCACTTTGCACTTAACACGGATGTGAGACTTGTAAATATTATATAAGATGAAAAATGGAAAGCAAGTCTGAAAAGAGAATTCAGAAAGATCACTCTTTGATCTTTATTTCACGTTTGCTAATTATCTTCTAAAACTTATAAAACATGAATTAATGTTTAAATATAATTTTATAAGACAACTCTTTATAATCGAGTTTTCTTTTTAGGGTGTTTATTTTATTAACATTCCTCGGACGGAAGTCATTAATAGCCGGTGGAAATAAGTCATCAGTTATTGAAGCCATGGTTCGTACATTAGGCAAATTACTGGCTCCTCTTACAAACGCACCAACCAGTTCTAATCGATTGGACATCACCTTAATCGGTTGGGTGTTATTATTTCTATCGGTATGCTTGGACACCATTGCACCACCGCCCTGTTTCGAGGACAATCACGAGAAAACTAGAGAACAAGGTATTTCAAATACGCTGTGTGTTTATGTACAACATTTTTACAATGTTTTCTTCATTAATCATTAGCATACTTTAAATAAGTTATGAAAGAAAAACAATTTTAAATACACACATAGTAAACATTTTTAAATAAATGTTTGAAATAAATGCAAATAATTCATTGTAATCTCAAACAAAATATACCTCTTTTTATTTATTGTAATTGTTTAACAGAATAATATCTTTATAACGTTTGTTTCGCAAGGTTTATTTTCCCGTTGGGAGTTTATTCAAGGGGAATCGGCCATGCAAAGGCGATATGTCAATGCTAACCGTTCGTCAGCTTCTCGTAGCTACCGAAAAAGATTACAAAAGCGTTTATTACATCATAAACAGCAGCTTCATGAATTAGAACAAGCAAAAAAGTCTGCAGCATCCAAAGTATGTGTATAATGTTAAACCAATAAGTATTTTTATAAAATAATTGCTGGATTGCTATGTGCATTTGATATATTTAGGGATTGATGACTCTTTCGTCTGACGCCGCTACATTGTACAATAAAGTGGAAGCAACCCTAAAAGTTCAAGAACGTTATTTCAAGAAGACATTAAAGCAACATTCCGCAAAGCATTACAAGGATATTCTTAAGAGAAATGAAACGCTGCTCCGCAGCCCATGTTGCAGTCAAGCAAGACCCAATACTAGGTTGGTATAAAGCAAGAATTTTATTCGTAAAAGTTTGATCTATAACACACGTGCAATAATTAAAATAATATTTGCATCTTTTTTAATCACATGTATCTTTGCAGTAAATCGGACGTCATGGATATGGAAGTCGAATACAGCGTGACAAGTCTATCTCATCAGAATGTTTTGCCAGTGGCTCGCGGTCTCATTGCGCTCATTTTACACAATTCGGCTAATGTGGATATGTTTTTGTTAGCTTGCAAGGTAAGGTCTACCAAGTTAAAACAAATGCTGCATCATGGATTCTTATCTCATGTTATAAGATTTTGTTTAATTAAAATTTAACTCGATCCGAGTCGAATTTCATTATTTGTGAAGTCTTCTTTTTCAAAGTTCGTAAAGTAGCATCGCTAAACGCTTTTGAAATGTTATAATTTAGTTCGGAAGAAAAAAGAACTTTTGGTGCGAATTTGACGAAGTTTTATATGTGTATTATTTTTTGTCTTTACAATCGGGTTTTGTAATTTATGATCTGAAATATGAAATATATTGTAAAGTGCATTGCAAGAGGAGACTAATTTTACATAGATTAGAACGTAAATCTTCCGATATATATATCTCTTAACATTTAACTGTATAGATAAGGCAGTCGGATCTATCTTATAATGTCTACGCGGCTTCATAATCATACATCTGTAATTACATTTTTGAATTATCGTACATAGGTAGTCGCTAGGCTAGTAGTATCTACACGTCCCGCAATAGGCTTATGCGAGCTTATGACCGAGGAACAACTCTTGAAATTAATCAGATTGGCAACGGATACATCTGACGCTGCTTGGTCATCGCATGCTGTTTCCTGTCTTCTAATGGATCTGCTAGAAGGTGATTACAATTTATACTTGCTATAGTCTACCACGAGGAAACAGTTGTAAATAATTCATAAAAATAATACTTCGTTTAGACGATAACTTTTAAAACGTTAAGAAGTTTGCTGTTTCTTCTTCTTTTTAATAAAATAGATCTTAACAGTTTGAATCTTAAAGTATAAGATAAATTGAAACTTGATCTTACAGGAGGGCGATTGTATCCTAGAGCATGTGCTTCGACGCACGAAAGTAGTCCATCGGAGGAAATTTTAGAATCTTTGGGGACTCATACAGACGAAAGTCGTGCGGCAGAGGAGGACGCGACCAATGTTGCTGGTACCAGTGCGCCTTCCGCTGCCACGTTAAGCGAAGGATTCGCCGAAGCAGACGCAGACGAGGATGTGCACGATAATATCGTGGTAACTTCGACCACTGCTGGCACGTCAAAATCCAACGGCTATCTGCCGTCCCTTTTGGAATCCGATGACAGCGAATTGGAAGACTTTTTGGACGACATATTGGAGCGGGGCAGAAATATGTTGAAAAAAGACAGCACAGTATCGAAAATTCTAACTTCTGCTATTACTGGGTATTTTGATCTTTTCTCTCTGATATTTAAAAAGAAATGGGTTTTTTAATACTAACAATTAAGCACTAATTCTTGTTTTTTGTAATGTCAAATGCTGGCACAGAATGTTTCTAATAGTTGTTAAAGCAATAGCACTTTGTTCATTTTAACATTGCTATGTTTGTATTCGACGTATATATTAATTCGTAACATCTTGTGTGATAAAACAATTTGAATTGTATAAAAATTTCACGATCTCATTTGTATCCAACAGCTTAAGAATTGATGCAACAACTTCTCACTTCAACTTTATTTGGCACATACATCTGGTTATAAAGTAAATGATATTTTTTAGGAGCATTTCTTTAGCGATGGACGCACGCTTGGAATATGGAGTTGAAATGGGCGTAGAAATATCACTGAGGATACTGTCTACGGTTGGCATGTACAATCTACCTCACAGCATAAATGCGACAATACACGTTAGTTTTTATATTATATTGCTTTTCTTATTTTTTGCATTGTTTCAATAATTTGGTTCACATGTATTGCTACATATTTAAAAATTGTTTCTTAGGAGAAAACAGAGGGGAATAATTATTAATACTCGTAAAGAAATATTTATTATAAAGACATGCCAATTATGCAAATTGCATTTTACATTCTAGGTGCCAACAGAAGCAAATCGCTGCTGTCAACAACCGTTCTTGCGTACCGAAACGAATGAGAGAAGTCAGGAAAGTGGAAACTTTTCTGATCCTACCTCTTCTAATCTTTCAATGTTGACGAGATGTTTCGAAAAGATGTTCACAGACTTATATCTACGTGTAAGTTTTTTATTGAAGTAAAATACATTGCGATATGTTAGATTCCGAGTAAATTATCGTTTTGACTTCTGTTTGAAATAACGTTACTGATTTAACATTTTTCTTTTGTTTTTCTTTTTCCTTTAAAGAAATTGAAAAACTTATTTCTGGATGAAAAGATTACAATGGAATCAACACTACTTTAATCAACAAATTTATTTCTAAACTATATCATTTCTTCAATTTATTTGACAGACCGAGTTATATATTTTGTTTATACAAAATACAATTATTTGTTTCTAATTAATGCCGTTTTTAACAAGCGTTTATACATATTTGTACAGACTTGATTTTATTTTTAAACCTTTGTATTAAACTTTTTTTTCTGAATATACTATTTGTATAATACATACATTTTTATCTTATGTCTATATAACAGAACAATAGTACGAACTTGGAACTGGTCCTCCAACTTTGGTTTGCATTGAATATGGATGCTACTACTGAACATCCAAGCTCGCAATTTGACCCCTCTTTAATACCACTGATTCCACTCAGTCCAGCAGCCATTTCCAGCCTGATATCTGCGCTCACATGGTAAATTAATAAATAAATAGGTTTTTGGTGAAAATGCGAATCGCAGAGGTGACATTTAATATATCCTAAAACGCGATGTTAATCTTTTTAATGCACACTTACAAATAAATTAAATTTAAGGCACACTGGAGTTTCTTTACGTGCTTGGTGTCTTGCATTGCAATGTTTAACCATTGTCTGCAACCAGTCGTTACGAAGATATTCCGATTTGGACGGCTTTGCACCTAATAGCCCTTCTATGGCCAGTTGTATTGTTAAAGAACGCAATACAGGCCCTATGTTGCTACGGCTACTTTCCGGCAATGGATTAAATATCAATACAATGGATAAGCAATATATTATGGTGAGAATATATTTTCCTTTATCATAGATTTTGGTGACATCCCGGAAGTATTTGACTGACGTGTTGTAAATAGAATAACGTTCAGTTATTTATGTTTTATTGACAATAGTATTTCTATTTCAGGCCGGGCCTACAGTTTGTCAAGCATTACACGATTTTCTCATTAGGCTGGAAATGATGTGTGATGTTATTACGACGGATAGCTGTTTAGGTAACTCCCTGAAGGATTTCCTGCTACAAGTGGTATATCAACTTGTGCAACCAAGTGGGCCTCTCATTTTAAGAAAGGGACCTTTAGATGCGCAGTGCAAGCTAATAACGTCAGTAGTTAACCTGAATTATGTCAATACTGATTTGGAAATAGCTATGAGCATTTCAGAATACGTTGGTGTGTTGGTTTCGACATATGTCAAAGGATCTGAAGGTAAAGTATTTTTCTTTGTCGAATATTACCACAAATAATATTAATAATAAAGGACGAGAAAGTTATGGTAGAAAACTTCTTGATGAAGTTATTTTAAAAAATGGATTTTGTATTGATTTTGAGAAATCGCTTTTCAGTTTTGATACACCGTTTCAAAAATTAGATCTTCATTGTTAATGGTTTAACTCGGTTGGCTTTGTTTTTGCGAATCATAAAAGTCTTAGTGTACAAGTGTTATTCTTACAGTTGGCGCACAATGTGGAGGTGTGGTTGATTCGGCTAATCAATCCGGGAGTTTCGGTGGTCTGTTCGCTTGCGTGCTCGGCGGCGATGCGAGACAATGTCGCCCTGCATCGTGGGACACTTTAATCGTGGCTCTCATCAAATTAGTGTGTACACTCATTCAGACTCCATTACCAAACGTACGTATTTTGTACCGTATATTAAAAAAATGATTAAAGAAATAATTTATCTATATTAATTTACTTTTTTATAACATGTAAAATGCATTTTGCGATTTTAATTTTAATCATTTGTGAACACCACCTGTTCTATGTGTTCTAGAGTATTTTATTTTTACAAATGTTTTACAGACTCGCCAAGAAAATTCAGAGGAATCGACAGAAATGGAATTATCGGAGACAAACTGGGGCTCTAAGGGCAATGCAAGCGATTCCCAAAACGCGAATACTTGGCAAACGGATGAGAGTAAAGCGGCAGAGCAACGAAACTCTTTCCACTTACAACAACCTAAACCTGGCAAATCTTCCGTGCCTTGCCTCGCTGATACTGGTAACTACTAACGTATATAACAGATAACACGTTTAACTGTATTTTACAACGTGCGCAAAGTTTTATTAATTAAATCTTCGTTTTTAAGTTCTGCAACACGAGCAAACTATGATGCGTTTGCTAGGCGCCCTCGGTCATAGTACGGGATCCTCGTTAGCTATGCTCTTGGGCGAAAGTGCGAGTGCGGCGTCGACCACCGAGCTCGGCGACCCCGCTTCGATACCGGATGCAACGTTCCAGCTTCTAACGACCCTTACAAAAAAGGCTAGCGATCCAAGCCTAGTTCTCAAGCCGCTTTACCACTATCTCTCCTCGTGTAAGAATTTATATATCCAGAAGACACTTATTATTCTCTGCTATTTAATTCTATCCCCCAAAAATGCAGCGTAAAATCTTTTTATACAGTTTTGTTTTCGAGAAAATTAAACGATTGTCGATTATCTGCAGCATGCGGAGAAACCGAATTGGGAGTCATGCAGCTGTCCGAACCGCTTCTTTGGTACATCCTAAGGGTGTTGGACAACGCCTCGTCGTTATCTATCTTCACCGCGATGGGCGGCGTGAAAGTGCTTTGCGAGAATCTCGTGAGGTCGAGTAACAGTGGCACCGCCGGTGCCTCCGCCTCGTCGGGAGTGATCGCCCTCGTCATGGAACATCTGTCGAATGCGCCGAACGTGATGCAGATGATGGCGAGCAGCAGCAAGAAGGGTGTCAGCTCGCTGGAGACTCACGACGACGGTTTACTGAATTTCGCACCTCTCGGCTCGATATCCTGGTTAAATCCGACCGCGCAGCCAGCGGATGTTCTCATACAAAACGCCACTCCCCATAAACGCGCGAGAACGCCGGCGTGGTCGTATCACTTTTATCCCGACGAGGCGTGGGTCGATCTCACCATCACGTTACCGTGCGCTATCCTGCTTAGGAAAGTGGAGCTACAGCCACATCTCACGGCGCTATCCAGTAAGTTTATATCGCCCCAATTTATATGGAGAACATGACAAGATCCTCGAGGTTTTGTGATTAGCGTTTTCCATATTTTTCATTAAACGCGTTTTCTTCAAACTGTAGATCTATTCGCCAAAATGATAAATATTTTGTTAAAGTAAATCTGATTTAAGATTTATCAAAGAGTTCGTAGTTCAAGAAAAGCGCGATTGGTGAGAGACAAATCCCCGTAATTAAATATACAAAACTGTTTGTGATCTATAGCATGTCCATCGGCTGTTGCGCTTGAAGTTTCGAAAGAAAGTAATGGTCCACTGACGCCTGTTTGTCCGCCGATGCCGACTGCGGGCTTAACGTATATACGCGTTACTTTAGCACAGCCGGAAGTCGCGACTTCCGTACTGGTGCGCCTATACAAACCACGGGACTCGACAAACATAAATCTCAGTCAAATAAGACTGCTGGGTACCACCGCGTTCGGCGAAATTAAAACGAATCCGGACACGATAGACGAGGAACAACTAACGAAGACTAGGTAACATAATTTTCTTTCTTGCCCCAAAATGCCATTGGCTCCATTAATGGGTGAAACATTTTATCGCTATACGAGAAGTCGAAAAATTTATTTCTAATAACGTTTATGTAGCTTGGGTTGGTTGCGATTACTGCATCAGTGCTTATCGGTAAGCACGCTGAACAGCAATCTGGCCGTCGAGGTGCTTAATTCCGCGGCTTCCGTCGAAGGCCTCGTCGAGGCATGCTGCAACCTCCTGTTACTCCCAGCACCGTCTCTCTTTACTCCCAACTTGGAGAGGGTTCTATTACAACTTGGCTTACACTCTCGAGAGCTTGGACTTCGTCTCATTGGTCTCTTACTCAACAACAGGTCCACCCCTTTCTTTCAAGGTATCGCTTTGTTCTCCATTTTCTGCAAACGAAATCAGTAAAAAGTATGGATAGACTAAGCAACTGCCTTGAGCCTCGTATTTTGTAAAGTCTCGCATTTCAAATTATTTAGATTATTTATTTAGACTTTTCGCGCGAGTATGACATGTTAACAAGGAAGAGATAATTCCTTTTTAGTTTCTTTATTATGAGATATACAATGAATTATGACAAATTAGGGAATAAGTGATATTTTAAATATTTGTAAGCAAAATTGAAAATATTTGCTAGTTTATTCACATATTTTCTACGAAAGTTAACGTGTATATTATTTTAAAATCTTTATATAATAAATATTAATTTTATTCGTATCGATAATGACTATTTACGATACTACGAACACTAAAGCTGTTTCCGAATAAAATATTTGACATAGTAATTTCCTCTTTTCAGCCTACGACACCATGATAATGCGCTATAATAATTCTGACATTTTACAGGAACTGTGACTTCTCAGGATACGTCCATCGTACAGTTGGTCGTTGAATTGCTTCAGCAATTGTGTTCTATTCGAGACTTCAGCACGGAGGCACGCATGAAAGCCGTCCTTACGTGGCTGCAAATATCGGCCGCGAATGGGATATCTCAGACGAACAGTAATCCCAATTCAGTGAATCCACCAGCGGTATACATTCATTGTGTGTCTTCTATCATTTGGAAGGCTCATCAACAGCAGAATCACAACTACGACCTGCAGGTCCTGTTGACGGACGAGCTGTTCTAGTAAGATTATTTATATTCGCGTATTCTGTTTTATAGTTTGAACCTTTTTATTCAAGCACAAATCGATTTATTCTATTATTGCATACAAATTTTATTTTAGGTACCTTTGAACTTTTCTCATACGATAAAGAATTCTGATATTATAATATAAACGTATATAAATTGTAACATACGAAATGCTTTTTAAACTTATTTGTCTCAGAGAGCAAAATTTAATATTGTGTCTGACTGTTGAATTAATCTTGAATTTTTTGTCGAACAGTTCATTGTACAAATGGATTCTGACCCTTGGAAATAACTCAGCCTTGAAGCAAGCGATCGACTCTGTCCTGTGTGCTTTCTGCTACGTGAGACCGTCCTTGTTGATCTTGCTTCTGGAGTGGGTACAAATCTTAGTGCCAAATATCGCGGTAAATCCGGCTGCGTCTATATCCGACGACTGTAAGGAAAGTGAGGAACAGACTGATGACAAGAAGAGCGATATTAATGCAGAGGGATGGTACTGTCAGTTTGTCTTGTTGAAGCACAAATGGTTGCATTTGACGGAGGGACAATTGCTAACTGTCGCCGCAGCGGCGCGTTCGCCACCCGGTACTCAGCAATTGATCGATTCCGGTCTTCCGGCGTTACTGACAACATCGATTACAGGTTGAACTTCCCTTTCTACGTCAAATATAAAAATCTTTGTCAGACAATCTATAATTTGTGACAAAATTCTACATGTAACTTAACATGCCTTTCATTAAGAGTGTATTATTTTAAGTATGCTTGATGTGCATTGACAGAAAAAGAATTTAGATTGTGTTTCGAATTGTAAATTGTGCTTCTAATGAATTTCACGCAGATTTGTCAAAGTTTTGTTAATGATCACGATTTATGCATTTAGATTTCTGTAACCTGGAGAAATCCAAACAACAACAGCGAGAGAGTAAAATGGCATCGGGTGGCAGCAATGAAAATAACATGACTGAAGATGTCAACTCGACGGACAGCGATAAGGCGGCAGGTTCGAGTTCCGGATCGAACAATTATTCTGGTAAATCTTAGAAGCTTATTTCTAAACATTTAAAAATGATAATTGTAAAGTTTTCTAACGTTGATTTTTTTTAAGTGTGTATAAATTTAGAGTGTAATATTGAAGATTACAAGTCAAATCAGAGCTTGAAAATAAGCTCATTGTTCATGCACAGAACGTGCTGTACGCAATCTTTTTTTTCCCCACCAGGAGGATTGTGCATGACAAAACCAGAGAGTATAGCAGTAGTGATAGAATTCTTAACGCTCGTATGTGCGGAAGGCAGAATGCGTGACTGGCTTGGTGAAGAGGGTCGCGGTTTCTGGTTACCGCTTCTGTCGCTTCTCAGTAATCGCCCTATCGAAAGCCCATCCGCGTCCGCATCGAGGTACGTATATGGCCTTTAGATAATGCCATTACCGTCAATAACGCCACGGTCCGAATCAAGTCTTAATCTTCTGTAGAGAAACCATCTTGTGTGGACTTTGGTTACGTAGTTTTATTTCAATTGTAATGTTTTTAAGGGTAATATATGTATATTTTATATTCACTCTGATGTATTGCAGTTGTTCGAAAACAAGCGCGTCATACGCATTACTGGAAAGCGCTATGATTAAATTCTTATCGAGATGTTGTTGGTGTCATCTGGCTAATCAAAAATTACTGGCGAAGCTTCTGATCGAGATCATTTCCCAACAACGAACCACCTCAAGTAAGTGTACTGTGGTGTAGAATACCGCTGACGTAATGCCAAGTTTTCTCAAGTATATAATAATGAACTAATTAATAGAATAAACTCGGTGCCTTCATCGAATAATGTATTATTATAATTGCAACAGATGTGCGGTATCTCCATGGCATTTCTGGATTTACGCGAAGATTAATTTTACAATTGCTCTTGGAGGGAGAGAAGGTGTTGGTTTCCGTAACATCGGAAGCCCCCATGAAAGTTTCAGCAACCGCGACGAATCATAGCATGCCATCCATGCCGTCACATCCTGCCTATCCCCTCGGACACTATCATCAATTATTATACATGTCTACGCAAGCAACGGTGGCAGATATATTGCAGCAAGTGTCAGGTATGCCCGGCACAAGTACAGTATTAGGCAAGATAATAATTAAAAATAATTGAGTAGGCAATGAATAAGTCTTAGAAAAGATTTATTGATATATTTTCGACACTACAAATGTACTTATGCAACATTTGATTTTTAAGGAACGTGGCTTCTTTTGTTACTTCCGAATACGTACAAGGGTAACGAAGCGAGTTCCAACGGGAACAACCGTTCTCGTGAATTCTGGGAATCGGGAATGACGTTGGTGGTAGACACGCTCAGTGTGGCCGCTGGAAACACGGCGAAAGACAAGCGGGCTAAGGAGGCATCGAACAGATCGCAAATTCGTGGCCCTATAATCAGAAAAACGCGTTTAAATCCTGGTACGTTTTAGAAAATAAGGATACCATGTGTACGTTCACATGTCGCTAATGCCATAAAGTAGGCCATAAAGTACAAGCTTCTACTCCACCAAGTAGAAGATCTAATTCCTGTATCAAGGAATTCTTCATTTTTGTATTATTTGACAGACGGAACGCCAGCAGCGAGCAAAGCCTCGTCTACTAATGCACAAGCCAACCCAGCCAACACGACAAATCAGCAGTATCTAATACATTCGTCTCGTCCTGATACTCCTCTACCGCCTCAGCTTACAATCGCGCAACTCCTGGCGATCGCCGAGGACAGCGGTGTTTCCCTGTCCGAACCGTGCTTACATCTCATCTTACGTCAACGTAATAAGGATTCCAAAGGTATCCGATTTCTTTCTACTCGTCTTGCCGACAATGTACGACAGAACGGCATCAATATCGATCGTTTTAAGTTATAAAAATACGAATGCTTTCGCGAGTCGCTGTACAAGTGCCATGCGTTTGCTTGCAGAAGACACGGCGAAGCAGAACGACAGCGAACTGTTGAACTACAGAAGCATAGAGAGTTCGTTGGGCGTCTTCAGTGCCGGCGGTGGATTGGCGGTGTTGGCGCGCCACTTGCCGTTGGTGTATCCGGATCCCGGCAGGCCGTCGTTCTTCGTCGAGAAGTCACCGTCGCCGGAGCAGACCGACGCCGACTGGGTAAAACTGGAGGCCAACGACGACATTTACGAGGCCTTGGAGGAGGGTAGAACGAATTGTCCGCCGAAGACGTCGGTTCCCGCCCCGTACGTGCCACCGCATTCCCTCGCGGCTTTCGGCCTATTTCTGAGACTCCCAGGCTATGCCGAGGTGCTGCTGAGAGACAAGAAACGGGCGCAGTGTCTGCTGCGGCTCGCCCTCGGGGTTTCCGACGACGGCGAGGGCGGCGAGGTGTTGATCTCGCCATTGGCCGCCTCGTTGCCGACCCTGCCGTTCCAAGTTCTGAAGCAGCTGTTGGACGCCACGCCGCCGACCACCGACGACGGGCTGCTTCTACGAGGAACAACCATAGAAGTGGGCGCTATGCTGCTGCTATTGAACTGCCTGGCGATATTCACGCATCAAACGGGACAGAACGACGGTTCGGCCGAGCACAAGCCTGGCCAGAGCAGCGGTGGCGGTGGTGTCAGTAGCAACGGAGGACGCAGCGATGACACTTCGCATTTGTACTGGGCCAAGGGCACCGGCTTCGGTACCGGGTCCACGCAGCAGTCGTGGAATGTCGAGCAGGCGTTGCTACGCCAACGATGCGAGGACGAGCACGTGACGGTGCTGCTGCAGGTCCTCGCTAGTTACATCGGGACATCGGCTGGCGGACAGCCGCAGCAGGAGTTGCCGGCACCGTTTCCCGATTTGTTGGCGCGTTCCTGCCTGCTGCCGGCGTTGTCGTCGTACCTGCGCAACGATTCTGTGCTAGATATGGCCAGGCACATACCTCTGTACCGCGCGGTCCTACAACTGCTCCGTGCCATGGCTCTCTCCGGTCAATTAGCGCCGCTCTTGTTACCGCGCGGCGGTAGATCCGGAGAACCGTCCGTAGTGTCCCTCCTGTCGAGCATGAAAGTGTGCGTGGACACGTATGTGAACAAGATTAATCGCACGAGGGGCAACAAAACGAACATGAAAGTGGTGTCCAAGTATCCCGACGATACCGAGCAAGACGAGGGCTTGGCCACGTTGATACCCGATATACAGGAAAGCGCGACTATAGTGCAAAACGCCACGTGCCGATTGTCTGGTGTCGGCGAAGAATTGCCCGGATCCAGCCCAACGGCGCCGGAATTACCGTTGCGCTCAAGTCTGGAGCACCGGTACTTGGAAGTAATGAAAAACTTGCAATTCGGTAAGTCTCTCACTCAGGATAAGGCTTGCTTATCCAAAATTTAAAGACCGCGTCTCATATTCGATGGCTAAAACTCTTCGTGTTGGATTACGAATCACTAAATATTCCCACGTAAAGGAAAGAATGTTTAATGTAAAAATATTTTGTATGCTTGGTTTAAATATTCATTCATTAAAACAGTCTTAACAATTTGAACTTATGAGAGTACAGAATTCATCCATAATTATGTCGCAAAATTTCATAGAACTTTCGAAAGGTATTGTGAAGTTGATACTTGTATAATAAATAGATACAATGATTAACACTTACACCGACATTGTAGATACGTACGAAATGATTACCGAGAACCCAGACGGCGGTGGCTATAAATTTACTGTTTCGTATCACTTCGAGTCGAACATGAGGGCTGCCGGAGAGAGAAGTCATCCGACGCGGGTGAAAAGATTAGCTCAAGAAGCCGTCACGCTCTCGACAGCATTGCCTCTGTCTTACAGCAGTAGCGTGTTTGTGAGATGCGATGCGGACAGATTGGATATCATGAAGGTATATCGTCTTTTCCACGAAGCACGGTTCAATCCTGTTCTCCTCGTTCGGCTCTATTGAGTTTTATTTTTACATGTGATGCACTCCGTGCGACATTAAATATTACACAGAAGAGACGAACGGAACAGGATTAATTAGTCATCTAACGGTTGTTTGATCTTTAAACACTGGAATGTATCTTTGTAACATTGTCGTTAAAGCAGCGTGCATTATATAGGATCATTAGACTCTCAATGGCGCTACGTACATTTGTACTTATTGAAATTGTAGAAGAAATTCTGGAGATGTCTTGTGCAACATTCATTTTGTTAATTAACGGTAATAAATTATGATAGTGACAACGTAATTTTTCTACTATTGCAATTTCAGTGACGTACGCGCGAAAGAATATCTTATTTTTTCCAATGCCAGTGCTTAAAGATTGAATACGGCGAAGCGAGTCTCTCGCGTGTGCGCCGCAATGTGACACGATGTATACGATTGTTGAAGGTACTCATAACAGGGCCAGCAGAAACGCCGTACGCAAACGGCTGTTTTGAGTTTGACGTGTACTTTCCTCCCGATTATCCTAACGGCCCGATGTTAATAAACCTAGAGACAACTGGCCGCCACACCGTGCGCTTCAATCCGAATTTGTATAACGACGGGAAGGTCTGTCTCAGCGTACTGAACACTTGGCACGGCCGACCTGAGGAGAAGTGGAATGCGCACACGAGTAGCTTCCTTCAGGTGAGCTCCAGAAGCCCAGGATCTGACGAGATTCTTTTGTCAAAACTTAATTTACCCGATGATCGATTAGATGTCTGCTTGTGAAGAGATTTTAAGAAGGCGAAATGAGGAAGATGCTAATTACGACATCGTTATAATTTTGCTTTTTAAACAGGTTCTAGTGTCGATACAGTCGCTAATCTTAGTGTCCGAACCCTACTTCAACGAGCCTGGATACGAACGATCACGGGGTACGTCAAGCGGTGCTCAATCTAGTCAGGAGTACAATGCGAATATTTGTCAGGCTACCGCCAAGTGGGCGATGCTCGATCAAATACGCAATCCCTGTCCATGTTTCAAAGAGGTACGTTCAATGTGCAGCTGGTCTCAGGGAGATTATATCTTTTTTAATGAAGTCTCTATGCATTTATTCCAACATGCATACATAAAAATCGTATAAAAATTGAGTAACAATGACAGTAAATTCAAATATACTTAAATGATTAAAACATTTAATATATCGTTTTCAACGCAACAGAATTGTTATGTTCTTGTACTAACATTACAATAATGATTGTTATTATCATCTATGATTTATATTATGAGAATAAATTCGTAGAGCCTACGAAATTATCTCAACGATTACATTAGAACACGTTCGCGAATAAGAAAGCTTGGAATTATTTCGCCACAGGTCATACATACCCACTTTTGGATAAAAAGGCACGAGATCGTTGCACAACTGGAGGGTTGGATCAGAGATATGGAAATGCATGGATCGGATCGTAGGTCAGGCCGTACAATTTCCCTCAATGCCCTGTCTTTGAGGGTAAGTCTTATTTTTGAAAAAAGAAAGAAAGTTGAAGATTTCCCATGCGTACAGTTTTACCGTGTGCTTCTCTACATTCGCAGAGACATTATAGACTATTGAGGGAGGAACTGAATAAACTGCCAACGCCCAAAGGATTGGAGGACTTGGCCGAACCACTCGCGTCGCCAGGCTCGCCTATCGAACTATCAGGGACCCCAGGCACAACACCGAACACGCCGTCGACGGTTACGGCATCCGCGACCGCAGCAGTGGCTGCTCCTATCACCACCAACACTATGGTTCCAATCAGCAATAGCAGTACGAGTAGCCACGTGCATCACGACATCGACACGGACGTCGAGATGGAGAAGATGGTTTCGAAAATGTGTGAATAGCTAAAGGATGTTAATAGACATTGTTGGACATTTTGAAAAGAGTCTATTGTTTGTGTTACGAGATGAACAAATGGACATTGAACATGAACAGATGACACAACGGACTGAAATCAAGCACATAGATATCCTGTCCAGCGGCCGAATTACCGATGTTTAGCTAAGGCGTTTAGGGAAGGAAGCAGTAACGACTTTCGGCCGAATACATAATAATACTGACGATAATTATTACAATGATGATGATGATGCTGATGATGATGATGATGATATAAGATGTAGGTAGAAAAATATAAGGTGTGGTAGAGCGAGAAAGACGAGTAAGAGAGAATTTACAATAGGAAGAAAGTGTGTGAGATAGAGAGATAGAGAGAGAAAGAAACAAAAAGCGAGCGAATGATGTGTGTGCATGGGTGAGACGTGAGTGTGAAAAGGAGAGAGGGAGAGAACGAAACAGATAGAGGCAAAGAATAAATAGCGCGAATGTAACAAACTCGTGCGTAGTAGATACTTTTTATAGCCGCTGCTATAGTACGTGTACGCTGCATTCTACTACTTCGTACTACCATAAGTACCACAACTGTTATTCGATATTTATTATACATGTTCCTCGTTTATGTAGCGTAACTCTGAATTAGCTGCACTTTCATGCGGATCTTGGGACATTACGTTCACTGTCCTCTCCTTGTCGCTCGTGTCTTCCGAGGGCAACGCGCTCGCGCTCCCGCCATCAACGCCCGCGCAGGTGTCGCGTTCTCTTTTTAACGATATTTTACTTTATCAATAATTGTGCTGATTTTTATACACACATACATACATATATGTGCACATCTATACATATATCTACATGTTTACATATATAAATATACACTGCATATAGATATAGATATGTATAGATATGTATGTGATGTATATGTAGAATTCTATCGCTGACACCTCGTTCTTTTCGTTTTAAATATATCTCGTAGGACACAATATTCTTTACCGAGCACTTTATCGATTTACTGGTAGATCCTGTTCTTTTGCTGAGTCATCTCTTCAGAATGCATTCAATTGTCGAGCATTAAGCGATTCGATTACTAACAAGCTGCGGGCGGCAACGAAGAGTCAATACACGCGCGGAAGTCGAAGCTCGTGACAGGTGCAACTAATTACGAGTTATTGATGTAGCGGGTATCCCTGCGCGCAATGCGACCGAATCTAAATGACGACTGTCATCTGAACGAGACGACGATCTAGGTACGTCGTTAGATAACGTTTAATATAATAGTACGTGTTCTATGTCGATTGAACGAACAACCGGGAAGGAAAAATGGTATCTTGGAAACAACAGAAAAAAAAGAAAAATTAACGGAAGACCAGGTGGTACGTTTCTCGCGTAAACGAGAATTGCTCTTTGTAATTGTAACAGCTACTTAGTACACGTAAATTTCATATGAATCGACCATATGAACGAATAAAGTCACATTGTTTTGAGACGGTTTTTCCATCTCCCCCGTACTCTTCGTTCGGGTCTACTCTCGTCGGCAGCTTGAGATCACATTCCGAGGACAGGGGCAGGAGTTTGATTCATTAATTCATCCACGCCTCTAATATTTAACGTATATAGTTTCTTTTCTTTTCGAGATATCCTAAAATACTTAAAAATAATACGCGAAGGTGAGGTAACGTTTATACATTTATATTTTTACAAGAAACGACACTCAAGAGTTCCTTTTATTTATGCAAATTTCTCTCCGAAGCGATCGGACGGGACAATCGGAGCGCACGTCTCCGGATGCGAGAGAATTCCCTCGAGAAATCGCAAGTCGCTGTACATCCCGTTTCGAATTTCGCGCCCTCCGAGAGCGGCTCGCGAAGTGAGCCGAGGTAGGTGGCGAATTTGAATCTCGGGGGGGCGGCTAACTTCTCGCAGGACGCGAGCGGGTCGTAACAGGTAAGATCGGCTCTCGGATCTCCACCTCAAAATTACGAGCGGTGCGTGCGGAAACGCCCCCGCGTCCGGTTTTCCCCGCGGGCGGGATTCCGCGCGAACGCCGCGCGTCAACGATCGCGGCGGGTTCGCGCGTGTCCAGAGCGAAGTAATCTCGCGAGCGTCGCCGGTCGTGGTCCGCGGTCGCCCGTAAATTCACTCGAGCAGGGGGGTCTTCGGCTACGTTTCGGCGGTCCGGGGAAGGGGCTCGTCGTCGGGGATCATCTCGACGAGAGAAAAAGGGACCTCGCTTCCCGGCGCGGCCGCGACGACGGCGGGAAGCGGGCGGCGGGGCGCGAATTTTGGCGGTTAACGCAGGTCAGTTAACGCGGTTCGCACGGCGGTATCTCGGAGGAGGGGGGGAGGGCATCTTCGGGGGACGCGCGCGCGTTATCCGGGTGAGTCGCGCTCGCGGGATGGTAGCCGCGGGGTGGAGCAGCGGGCAGCGTGAATTATACGACGGCGAGAGATCGTTGTCCGTAGCCGGTGCGTCGCGGGGCGGGGAGGGGGGGGCGGCGGAGGTCGCGAGGCCTCGGGCGGCCCGAAGCGGCCGCGCTTCAGTCGGTGCGAGCGGTTCAGATCGGTCGCGTCGTTCCGCACGCTCGTACCCGAACGCCCGGCGTCGCGCGCGCGCGCGGAACCGATCGCCGGCCACCGTCGGAAGACGCTCCGCCGCCCCGAACGATCGATCGATCGATCGACCGATCGCCGTCGCCGGGGAAGGAGGACCCACACGGCTCGCCTCCGCTGCCCCGCGCGCGGGGCGGGGGGGGGAATCGTCCGTTGCACGCGGGTGCGGGTGCGCGCGCGCGGCGTGCACGCGGCACACCAGCCTTCAATTGCTTCGGCTCGCGCGGATTTCGGCGATCGTCGCTGCGGGTGGTAAGTGTCTCTCTCCGCGGCGCGGTAGCGGCGCGACAGCGAGGAAGCGACGTCGTGTCGCGTTACGCAATATTTAAATTCGTATTTTTAGGCTTAGGAACCGAGCGCGCGCGCGCGCGCGCGCGAGTGCGATACGCCCGCCCGGGCGCTCTCGTTCCCGCTTGGGGTTTATCATCTCGCGAGAAGCGAACCCTCTGAGATTCAGTAGGTCGACTCGCGACCGAGGGAACGTCGCGAGGCGCGCGAATTGATCCCCGCCGCGCCGAGGATTCTCCGATCGCGCGAGCCCACCTCGCCACCGGATCGGACGTCTCCTCGAAGGTGGAGTTATCGGCGCGCGCGCGCGCGCGGCCGCTATTTGCATTAAACCAAGATTTGGAGTCAACGCTCGTAGCGGTACGTGACAAGGCAGGTGGGAACATGTGCACGGCGAGTGTAAATTTAACACAGGCGGTTTGAAATGAGGCGGCGGCGCGCGTACACGCGTGCACGCGTGTGCGTGCGGTGCGCAAGTTGAAAATGCACACTACCGGTTTCCATCTAGTTTCCGCTCCCCTCGCCGCGCGCGGTCTTGTCTGCCACGGGGCGGCCGACGTTAAGCCTGATTCACGCAGCCGCCGGCAGGAACGTTATACAATGTAATTTATGGTCGCGCGGAGATAGCCCGCGCTAATCGTCACCGATGTACGCGCGGATCGACGCGACGGACGAGACTGGCTCGTGGATTCTAGCCGGCGGCCCGCCGTGCCGGCTCCGGTCCGCGTCCGCTCGGAAGAGCAAGGCCCGGTTTCACCGAGCGTCGTCCAACTTTGATCTTGGTTTAATTCACGTTCGACTCGCTCTAAAGTAACAGTTGAACGGAGACAAAGGGACGAATCGAGCCAAGCTCGAAGTTAAGCGACGTTGACGAAACCGGGCCTGAAGACGCGACGACAGGGGAAACGAATTCGAGGGCCGTCCGAGTGACATTTTTAACAGTAGCTGCTTTTCTCGTAGATGACGAGGAGGACCGCGGCGGTGGGACCCTCCGAGGAATCTCGGAACGCCTCGCCTTGGAGCCCGCGTTCGCGCGACGCGGGAATTCTCGTAAATCGCCGGAGGAAACACCGTGGTGCCGGCGTTTCCTCGCGCTACGGCGCGGGGGATTCTTCTGAATCACCGAGAGAAAACTGTCAAGTTGGACGCTCGAAGACGCCTCGGAGCCTCGCTTTTACGATCCGCGTTTGCATATCTTCTTGCGCAACCCGAGGAATTCTCGTAAATCACGGAGGAAACTCGCGTGAGGTTGCGCACTCGAAAATATTCTCGCGCGTCTTCGCGAATTCTCCCCTTTTCGTACCTTCGAGGCGGAAATATTTGTCGAATTAAATTCCCCCTCGACGCCGCCGCGTCTAGCGTCAGATTCGCCGACGAATTTACGCGCCGATACGGATCTGTCGAGCGGACGGCGTCGGCGAAGCAATTTGTTCCTCCGTTTCATTTTTTGTCGGCGGCCGCGCGGCGTGAATCGAGCTTGAGACGATCTGAGGCTTTGATAAGGAACGCGACGGAGTGCCCGATGTTAATTTTACATTCCGCGGCGTTGCAAGGCGGCGTGTGACGCTCATCATCAATCTTTTAATCAAAGTATTTGTTTCCGAGATGGAGTTTCGGCACGACACACCGAGGCTCCGTCGCGATAACGCAATTTAGGCCCGTCCTTTCACCCACGTCGTTGATCATTAATTACAGCGGAGTCGGAGGAATCGTTCCGCGAGCGACCGTTCTCCTTTGTTTAACGAGAACGACCTTCCGCCTCGGTCATCGGGCAACAATTTCAAAGATTCATTGTCAATTTGCGGGATGACCCCGCGATTCGCAGGCTTTCGTTGATTAAAGTCTCCTCGGCGATTCTGGGATTGGCGTTGGAAAAAGTATCAAGACGATAGACTCGAGATGCACGCAAAGAAATGACTTGGTAATATCAGCGAAATTGCAGTAGCTGCTTTCAAAGTAGTTAAAAGGCTAAGTGTTTTGTAGCCATCGCTAAAAGTTTGTGATTATAGATAAAATTCAATTACATCACTGCTAAATTTTAGCTCTTTTGGCTAATCCTTTCTCTGCGTGTGCGCAAGAAGAACCGTTTTGCGGATCGTACTTTGGAAAGAGCCGAGTGGATGGCGAAGAACCGGGCGTCGTGTAGCCGATCTAGAATTCACGCCATTCCTTTCTGCGTTTAATAAACACTTTATTGACAAGGTAAAGTGTCGTTTTACGTCCGCGAGACGTTTGTTTAGATAGTTATCGGGCGACATAAACAGTAATATCCCGTTACATTAGATACTATTGCGCACTTAAATACGCATATTAACGTGTCCAACGTCGCCGATCGGGTCCGCGATCGACGGAGAAAGTGGCCGTCGTGGAAATAGCGCGCGGCCACGACCGTCCTAAGGGGAGCGCGAGACGCGGCGGATCGCGTGAAATTTCGAAAGACAAAGATCCATCGATCGCCTGACCGATTGATCGAGCTCGGTGCATGCGATACGCGACGAGAATAGTCTGACCCAGACCTTAAGAGATTCCCGAGGTCGGCAGCCGCGCGCGCCAGCAGCTTTTATATTTCGTTCGCTCGCGCGCGGCCTTGATGACGCGGCGGATTTAAGCTCCTCCGCCCGAAACCTGGACACTCGTCCCCCACGAGAACGATCGCTTCCCGGAGAGAGAAAGAGAGAGGCGGGAGTAAAAGAACTGTATTTATATTTTTCCCTCGCTCAGCCTTGACGAGCGACACGGAGTTCCGAGCGCCGTCCAAATCTATCCTGACAGAAAGCATTATCCCTCGCGCGGAAAGACGAAAAATAAATACGTGACAAGACCGCCGCGTCGATTTAATCTCCTCGCTGACGAAGAATCGTTTGTTTGGTTTCAGGAAAGCGTCGCTCAGCGGCCCGAGAGAGAAAGAGAAGATTGAGGCGCACAGCGCGGATAAACTCCGGTCGCGCTCGTAAAGTACGCGCCCCCACGTGAGAGCCGAAGGTTTCGATCATCTCCTCGTCGTCGTCGTCGTCGATCATCGAGCCGATTACACGCGCGCTCTCGTCGCTCCGTCGACACGGAGATGCTTCTCGGGGGATCGTCGAGGGAAGGTGCGCGACGAGCTTCTGGCGGTGTGAAGGCGAGAGGAACGACCCCCGGGGGCCCCCGGGTCTCTCGGGACCGCTGAACGAGGAGCGGAGCGGAAAACGAGCGTACGACGATGCGCCGCTGCACTTGCAGCCGGCCGCTCTCCGAGTAAGCGGATCGACACAGGCACGGGCGGTATGGTCGAGGTCCTGCGCGAGGGGAGAGATAAGGCCAGGACGCGGGACGTTCTTTAATGGACGCCGCGCCGATCCTCGTTGCATTCTGCCGGCGTGCCGCTCGCGAGGAAAACAAGATTCGAGAGGAGGAAGAGGGACCTTGAGAGATCGCCGTCCGTTGCGCGAGGGTTTTATGGATACGCCGAAGGTACCGGAGGCTCTTACTCGGCTCTCTCGGAGTATCCGCGATAATCGCCGTCCAATGACGCGGTCGGGATGATCGATTGACGGCGCGGCGAGATCGATCGCTCTCGGTGGATGCATAATACGCCTTACGTATACCGTAGTGATCTCGATTGGCGCGAGGAAACGCCGAGCGGACGTTCCGGTGCGAACGGGACGAATAGATGCGCGTGCACCTGCAGTGGGACTCGCAGAGAGATGTCGCGAATTACGAATCGCGTCGCCACGATTGGCGCGGCTCTCGCCATCGTCCTGCTCGTGATACTCCTAGTGATCCTGTGGTCGGACGTGCGCAACGTGGACAGGATCGAGAATCTCGGCCGGGCGCGGAACAACTCGACGGCGGCCGACGGCGCGGCGAATGAAACGTGGAAGAGGCAGCTCGACGGTCTGCGCGTCGCCACGACGGACCTGGTCGCGACGTTCGAGTCCATCGAGCAGAATCTCACGAATGAGGGTGAGTCTTTTGGCGACGTAACGAGAGTCTCCAGTTCTTTTTAGGCCGAGCCAGATGACGCGTGGATTTGTCAGCGACAGATCGGCTAGACTAAGCACGCTCGATTGATCTAGGGCGAATTAGCACATATCTCCGGCGCGAGACGACATTGTAAAGGCCGCTGCCCACGGAATCCTTTCCTCTCATGCTCCTTGCAACTGCACGTTTGTTCCTTCGTACGTACAGACTTTCTATTTGCCCGCAGCTTTTCCCGCATTCTCCACGTAACATTCGCCACGAAGGATAGAAACGTCCTTCAATTCGCGAAGAGCCAACTTCCGCCGAGTTTCGACTTGACCGGACGAAGAACGGCCTCGTTGGATCGCAAACGGCCGGATCGAGCGATTATTTCCATAAGCTGCCGCTCGCCTCTTCTCGCGCGCATAGAATGGAAGATTCTAATAGCTGAATGATAAGACGCTGTGTCAATAGTCAGCCGTGCCGGGACGTCTCGGGACCTCGATATTCTTAATGCGCAGCGTATAAAAGAATGTGTGCCGTGCATTATTACGTGTAAGCGCATAGGCGCGAGCGTACATGAAATCGCGCGTGTAATGGCAACATCCGCGTTTTCACGCAGAAACGTGCCGCACGCTTTGCCCGCGCGGGCTCCGCCGCCGCTCGCGCCTTCCGCGCATCCTCCTTTTGCAACTCGTCATTTTCTTGCGCAAAAATAATTATCCGCACGAAAGATGCGCGAGGCCTGCGTGCGCGAGAGAGGAGGCTATTTTTAATGGCTTATGTCACTCTCCCTTCTAATCTCAACGGCGTAATTTCCCTCCCCGCCCCCCCCCCGTTTCTCTTCATCCGAAAAGGTAAATTTTCACGCGCGCGATATCCTCCCGGTCTCGCGCCGACCGGACGCGAGCGTACGCGAGACTCGGAAATTCAAGTGATCTTTTTCGGCAACTCGTTACGAAACCCTATCCTCCTCCTCCGTTTCCAAGCGAATGTTTTCCGAGAAGCGCGATACCGTTGTAATGAGGTAGATATACGTTTTCGCGAATTTGCCGGCACGCCGTTCGTTAAAGCGCATACAACGCATAATCGCGGCTGCCTCGTGTGACATCGCGCGCGCGCGCTCTCGTTGATAAGACGTATTCTTCGCTTGGCCACGTTGGCACCGTGACATAAAACATCGCGCCTACACGAGCGTAAGGATAGACATACGTACGATACGTACGTGCGGCTCGCAGAAGGGAGAGAGCGAGGAGGAGCGTTGATGTAACTGAAAGTGCAGGCCCGCCGTCCGGGCGGCGAACGCCACCAAAAGTGCGTGCGTCGTGAAGGCTCGTGTTTCTTGCCAGGGTCAGCAGACACGGGTATCGCGCGTTCGGCTAAGCGACGACGTCGTCATCGCGAGGCATCCTTTACCACGAACACCTTTTCGCGCTGCCCGGCTCGTACGCGGAACGGAACGAATTTACGAGGTCCAGATGCGACGCGGTCCGATCCCTTGCGAATGTAACGTAAATTTAACGGCCTTTCTTTGACGTCCGTTGGACTCCGCGAGGGAACTCTGCGATCTAATTTCGAGAGGAAGGATTTTTTAAAGTCGAATTTTTTGTTTTTTTTCTCGACGCTGCACCCACTTGCTGACCTCCAGTCTTGTATATCGCACGCGCGATTTACATCTTCGCGAGACGCCGCTCGTTTCGCGAAGCTGCCGTCCCGCGTTCGCCGATTTTGTAATTTCCCCCTCGGGTATATACTTTAATTGTTCGCGCCGTTTCCCCGAGTTCCATTACCAGTTGCTCTTGGACTCTACGCTCTAAAGTGTTGCGTGCCGTTCGCGCGAGGCCTTGATTGTTAGTCCATATTAGCCGGCATGATGCAGCAACGTGCTAACGCATGCCGTCTCTCCGTAAATGTCCGGAGTAACGCACGAATGCAATGCACCTACGGAAATTCTTTATTAACGAGTTTGCCCAAGTCACCTCGCGCGCTATCTCGGGACGGCAGTCGGTTGCAGCGACGTGTAACGTGTTTGCACAAACCTCATTCCCTCGAGATCTCGCCCGGCTCCTCCGATTTAACATCCGGCACCGACAGCGAGACGGGCTCGAATTCGTAATAGATCCGTTGGTCGAGGAGAAAGAGCAATCCCGTGTCTACATTCCCGTGAAAGCATCCGCTGGCACCGGGACGAAGGTGTTTGATCAGAGAACCCCATTCTTCTAGCTCCCACGCGATGAGCATCCTTCTTTCTTAACAGGCCGACCGGTTATTAGAAGGCGACATCGATAAATTTTACACGGAGAGACGTCCGAGAGCTTCGTTACTTTATGCCGCCGTGTCTGAATAATTTTGACTTAATACCACGGGCTTCGTGAGATTCCGAGGGAGACCGCGTAAGAGGACTTTAGATTGTTGCATAAAACATAAAGGTAAAAAGTTGCACGCGTTGTCCTGATTGACAACGACGCGCGTGTTTGGGATTGCGTATTAACATTTAACGCGCCTCGTGTGTATTTAGATACTCGGAAGCTATAAACAAGGATTAAAATAGACTGACAATTTGTTTCGACAGATGGGAGAGAGTCCGTTGTGTTTGGTTGGACTGAGCCCGGGAACGCTTAAACAGGCAGGTAGAATCTACGAAGCGCCGCATCTTCGATTCGCCTGAGAACCGAGTGATGTTTCAAGCACCTTGGGAAAGATTTACTCTGGCGCTGACGAGGCGAATGCATGGGACGCGATATTTGCCGCCAGACCGCTCAAACGCTCTTGTCCGTAAACATTTTCGGCCGATCCGCAGAACTCGGACCGCAGGATATATCGGTCGCACCGCTCATGATTTACGTCTGAGACTATGTTCGAGTTAAAATAGCCAAAGCCAGCCGGTACTCTGCTGGGTGATGCGATAGCGTTCGATGGTCTTGAACCTTAGCGGCACCCAATGCCGCTCGCAATTTTACGCCACCCGTCGTTACGTTATTCCGCCCCGCTCGGCTTTTCGGCCTCAGCGTGGCAATCCTTGCTCCGCGGTCGCCGCGTGTCATGTCAAAGACAGAGGAAAGTCCCCTAATATGGAATAGCGGAGTTTCTGCCAAATTAATAGACGTCATCTGTTGAAAACGCAAAGAATTACTTAACGCCAGTAATTGATTAAACAGTGTAGAAAAATTGCATGACGACCGATGGCGGGCAAATTCTAATTAAAGAAATTCATTGCGAAAAATATTAGCTCAACCATCACCTGTTGATTCCACCATGAATTTCTTCAAAAGTCTGTTTGGTGGAAAATTCATTGTTACATCGTGTAATCCTTGCGAAAAAAAATTGAATTTGGACGTTAAAAATCTACTATTTCTCATAATAGAGGACTTTTCTTTAGTTTTCTGCTAGTTTTCTGCTGATCGATCGATCGATCGGTTACACAATTTCTGCAGTATCTAATCTAGTTCAGTAATAATACGGCGGCAAGTGTTTCTTTTTCATTCAGGGTAAACTGCCGTAACTCCAAACTTATTTGCCGCGCTGACGTTGCAGTTGACTCTCTGCGAAGAGAGATATAAATTTACTGCCTTCCTGAAACATGTCCGCATTAAAAAGTTATTAACACGATTCGCGCTGAGATCATGTTTGCCGATGAAACTAGGCATAGCAAGTTACAAACTCACTTGCGTAAGCGCGATACGTTTCTAACTCGGCTAGAGAAGGACCTTTCTCCTTCCCCCCTTTGTATCTCTCGTTCCTTTACGTTGCTTCGAAAATAAGCAGTTAATCAAACGCGAAGGAGATTTTACTAAGGTCATAAAGGGGCAGATTGCATTGCCACGTGCAACATTGAGCGCACTCACGTAGTTAATTATTCACTGATACGTTGCGGCAGTAAGTTTTTATTAAATCCCTCTTGAATTAATAACGTTTAATTAACTAACCGATACGACCGATACTTTCAAGTAATCCGTAATTGCTACCCTAATTGAGAAAGTACTACATTTAGCGGGAGGGGGGCTGAGGATTATTATTTTCAGTCCGTCTCCCGTGTCTTTCGTCGTGGATGACTTATGTCTCTCGTGCGTTTCCAGGCTCGTCTTTCGATACAGTAATTAAACGGCAACGCACGCGGGACACTGTAGACATTCTTTCTCCAACAGTGTCCGCCTTGTGGCACGGCAGAGGCGAACGCGAGTGTCACTCGGGGGGCCCCGAGTCGAGACGGCCGAAGCGTAAACGTTTACGCGAGAGGAGCGGTCTGCGGCAGCAATGAGAATGGGTCTTTTGTACGGGGGAGGAAACAATGTCACCCGAGCGCCACGGTTCAACGACACGTGACACTCGGAAAGATTTCGCTCTAGGTCGCTTCGCAGAACGTTTTCCCTGACGAGGATCATTTCTTTCAATCTTACGCGGTGTTGATGGGCGAGATTATTCCGATTTCTCTCGCTCTGTCGATGTGTGCGAAAACACATTAGCAACATTGATAGATAGAATGGAAGTCTTTGTGTCGAAACGCGTGGATTATGTCTCTCCTTTCTCTCTTATTTATCGACGCTGAAATCAGAGGGAAACGTTTAAATACCCCGCTCTAGCAATAATATGCGCCCCGAGTGATTAGTCAGTTTAGTTTTTGCTCTTGTCTGTCTTCGACGTAATCGCAAAGATATGATTACGTCGTGCGTAACGTTGCAATTTAGTACTTATTATTAATATCATGTTGCTAGCCCCATGCCGTCATTTAACAACCAAGGCCGTTATTTATAGAGTTTCATTATCGTTCCAGCTGTCAATTAAACAATCGAGAGGACTGTCGCGGTTGTTATTAACAAAAGCTGCAGAAAAAGATTTAATTATCGTTCGGAGAAACAAGCGAGAAAGAATTGCGGAATATTCCAAGGACTCTTTGCCTCGTATTCAAGGTTTTCGAGAAGCGATTCTGAACTACCTGCGTCAGCTGTTTCGTTATCGGATAGGATAATTCGACGATGCCTCGAGTCGACCTCTCGCATATGTAATTAATTTTATTTTTTTGCGATAATATTTAATACAACGCTCCCGTCTACCGCGCGAAATCGTTGCGAAAAAATTACGATGCGATCCTTAACTTCGCGCTGAAAATACGGAAGAGATATTTGCGGCCTGCGCGTTGCTCGCACGTCCCTCTCGCTTGGAAATGGAACGGAAGCGGTTATTGTTGCCATCGGAGGGGGAGGAGGGATTCCTTTTGCGAACTTTAAGGCGCAAAACAAACGTGTCGTTCGAAAGGGGGGTAGCGCACGTCCGGCACGTTTCCGTCGGTATTTTCAGGAGTGTTACGCTTATAGATGAAATCCCGGGGGCGAAGGGAGCCGAAACGGACAATTACTATCGCTACCCGCGCGGCACCGACAAACAATTCCGCGCGCACGGCAACGAAATGCATCGCGCGACGTGACGAAATGGTAAACACCGTATAACGCGTCGGATTCGGTGACTTTTATTTCGAGATGCTAAATACACGTCGCGTGTTTCCAAGCCTACCCCGACGTACTCGCTCAGACCACGCATTTCTGTTTTAGGTCGCTATTGTACGGGAGTAGCAGGAATATATTACCGCGAACACCGTAACGTTCGTCGGACGGATATTTATGAATCGATGCATCGCACCTGCATATATTCTTCTTCTTGCCTTCTTGTCTTGTACCAAGGGCTTCAGTTCTTTAAGTAATACCGTACACTTGAGTGGCTCCGGCCACTTTTTCGCTATCTACATATTTGTTTGTACTGTGCAAATTTACCTTAATTTTTAAATGCCCATTGCCGATGGGGTAAACCGCTGAGGGCATTGTGGTGTACAGATTTGCGGCATTACCGATTGTGAGCATTACTAGGCATTTTTGGGCATTAGGCCTTACTGGGGCATTATAAAGATTAAATAAGATAAATGAGCTAAAATAAGATAAATTAATGCCCACTGGCCATTACCCAGATAGCAAAATCTGCCAGAACAGATTTCGTCAAATGTCCACTACAAATTTTGAAGGCAGAAATATTGCAGATTGCACGCAGGAACTGATATATTCGACATGTTGCCAGCGTGTCAGCAGAAATACAACAAAATCTGCTCACATAACTGGACCTGTTCGATTTCTGCCGACAATCCGTTGATAGCGTATGTTTTACAGACTCTGTTGCCAAAACAAAAGCCAAATGCGGACACAGATGGCTATGGTTTTGGTGTGGGCTTTCGATAAATCTGCTGGCAATCTGCTAACATTTTGCTGACTGGGTAGTAGGCATTGGTGTATGTACATCATTTTGGTCAGCGGTTTACCCCACGCCTATTGCTATGTTTCCATTTTTTTAAAATGATTTTAATGCACTGTAGGTGTTAACAATTTTAGAACAAATTTGCATAGTATAAACAATCAAAAGTCACCCAAATTTACGGTATTTCCTTCTTGCCAGGGTAGACTGTTATTCTAGTCCTTCGAACCTTCTTTGTTAAATGCATTCGGTAGTTAAAGAGATGCAGTTAAAAAAGCCTTTAATGATAATAATATAAAGCGTTGACGCATGTGTCGCGGGGAATCTTGCAAAGAATAAGCGAAGATTATCACTTTTGCTTTTATCGCGCGAATGTATGAACTCGAACTATTTGTCACTTATTGGCGCGCGCAGTTTTATCTACGTCCGGAAATGGGAGGGAAAAAATTGTCCTCTATCATCAAATTCAGTCATACGCGATTACGAGCGAGATGAATAATTCCATCGAATTTTCAATGAGAGAGACTTGATTCAGAACGTCCGCGGATCAAAGTGCTGGGATTGATCCGAGATCATTTATATCTAGCCGGTATCTATGAACGCGGGCTCGTTAAAGCTCGAGAAGCCGCCCGGTTTAACGTCGAAGATCCATTCAGACGAACGTCGCGTGGCGTAAATGCGTAAACGCATGGGAAAACCGATCGATTACCGCATTTAATACCCGCTCGTTTTCCCCGCGTCTCATTACGCCGAACCCGTCGTAATGATAGGCACGTGAATGATCTCGTTGTGCGCGCACGTATGCCTCGACGTGGCTATGCAAATCACGCCCGGGTGAGACCTTAGCGTGTTCGCGCGTCGAGCACAAATGAACGCATAACTGCAGTGAGAAAAAAAATTGTTGACACTGCTAAACATGTTCAATCAGCAGTATTTCTTTAGTTCAAACGTGTACATATATTTTCAAGTTAAACGTAGTTAATCGAAATATATATACATATATATTTTTTAATTAACAAGTATTTTGGCGGATTAACAAATACTTAAAACTTTAAGAAATTAATAAAATTCATAAGGCTCTACTGTGGTAAACAATTTTGAAAGTAAATATTTCTTGTTTTAAATTTATTGCGAAATTGCGAAAAACATTACCTCAGCCAGGGTGAAAATTTAAGATTCTTAAAGTTGCGTAATAATAACAATAAGGAAGTTGATATCGACCTTAACCGGCCCTAAGTTTATTATAAATTCACGGAAAAAAAAATTTAGCTGCATATGGACAGCTAATATTTTTTAGTTGTGATAGCTAAATATTTTGCTACGACAGCAAACCGTTTGCTGTCGTAGCAAAATATTTAGCTATCACAACTAAAAATATTAGTTGTCCATATGCAGCTACATTTTTTTTTCCGTGTTAAAAGTGCGACGTTTCGACCTTTGGTTTAGGTCCTTTTCAAGCACAGTCTAAAGAAAATTATAATAACGTCTTAAGTTTCTTTAGACTGAGCTTGAAACCAACCATTGACCGCGGGATTTAGTTGGAACAAAAAATATCTATCCAATTCGACGCTTTTTTCTTCTCGGTGCAGTCACGAGCGATGTCCTGAGCGGTCTGAGATCTACCTGGTCTCCAAGATCGTCTCGCCCGACCATTTGAATATCCTGTGCAACGTCCCGGAATTGTGCAACGCGCTCGACGCGTTGATTGCACTCTCGACCGGCGTCGCCCACGTGTTTGCGTTTTGCAACCGGGCTTAATCTATCCCGGTGCGCGCGACACGGTGTCCCTTTGTCCCGTAATCTTTCACGGTGCCACGTATACGGAGCTGCGTGGCGTCGAGACGTTTCCTTTCTGCGAGCGTACAGTCTCACGGACACGTGCTGCCCGATGTTTTATTCGGGAAGAGATAAAAAAAGAAACCGGCGTGCTGCGTACCGTAAATTCGGTTTGCAAGGCACTCGCCTTTTATTTATCTCATGACCCCGTGATTCAGCCTCGACATTCGATACGTCTCGCGAAAACTGTCGTGCGTTAATTATAGAAGCCGCGTGCGTGCGCTATGCGTGCCTCCAGACGCCGGTACCACCGGAGTGCGTTATAGGTAGAGGCCCGATATAATTAGGCGAGAGGCGATTCCGCACGGTGCGTTTATTCCGCGAACAATTTCCTCAAGGTCCCGCCATTCGCGTATTCCGCGACTCGCCGTTAAATCTAAATCAGTGGACATCCACTCGCGGCTCCTGCGGATAATAATCACCCGATATGCGCTGCGTAAAAGAACTGCAGACCGGATCGCGGAGGATCGACGAGGTGCTCGTAGAAACCATCGTGGTCTGGTCGATCGTTACTGCGCGCAGTTACTCAGTTTATACCGGTAGATTGGCTCCTTCAGCTGGTTAGTAATTAGCGTCAGTCAACATTCGAGCGTATAAAGCCGTTTTATCTCTCGATGAGTCACATTAAATTATTGCCACTCGAGGAGGAAGATCCGTGATCGATAATGAAAGTTCAACTGGTTAAATAACGGGCGATCTCTTTCTCGAGAGAAAAGGGACACTAACGGAAAATGACACGTTTCTACCTTTTCTTAACATTTGTCTCGTTTTATATCCACGCTGTTAAATTTAGTGCTAAATTTGACTCAATTAGTAGTCGCCACTTAAAAATAAGTTGCCTACTTTTAACTGTCATGAGTAGTAAAATTTATTATTTCAACACAAATTGTAGTTAACAAACACCTACATCTTTCACTTCATCCATTACATGGTTTCTTTCAACTCCGTTTAATTAAATTAACGATATATTGAGTAGGAGCAGACTAATTGAGTTAAATTTAACAGTGTATGTTTCCCCCTTTTCGTTTTGCGAGCTTATTACATAATTACCGGTTTCAAAAGTAACGCGAGCACGTTAAAACTCGTGCGATGAATTGGGGGTTAGCGAAAGCGAGAGCGTTTTATACGATTAATTGTTCTTTTATTTCAGTGCTTCCTGAAGGAGCACGGAGTACGAAAGAGTTCAATGGCACGTCGTCGATCGACATACTGCCGTCCGCTAAGGGCAATCTGGAGTACGTCAAGCCTTTAAAAATTAGTCAAAATCAGTATGAAGATCCACGTAAGTGTCTGAAGTAACATAAATAGAATCTACCTCAATGTATGTCGATGTGTACGTACGTGCGTCTGGAATTGTATACAAAAGTCCGTGTAAGAGAGTTGTATATGAAACTATGAAAGTTTAAGCACTGCGCCGAGGAGGAAACCGCTGACCAAAATCCTGTACATCAATGCCCATCTTATTTTATCTTTAGAATGCCTCAGCAACGCCTAATGCCTAGTAACGCCCTGTAATGCCGCAAATCTGTACACCACCAATGCCTCAGCGGTTTTCTCCTCGCACTGCACTGAGAAACATTTCCATCGGACAATAGCGTTTCCGACGGTTAATCTTTCCGATTAAATTACGGATACATTATATTTTTCATCGGATATAAATTGAATTATTATGTAATTGGATTATCCGATTATATTTAATCATTTTTCTCAGTGTAGAATATGTTACACAGAAGATGTGCGTACATACGTCAATGTACATCGAGATTGAAAATTACCGCCAGCAGATTTCTGACTCTGCCACTGCCCGATTATCTCACATCGTTCGTAATCTGGGCATCAATTCTTACAATGTAGCGAAAATGCTACTATGGGAATGGTTTTGTCTCTTTCTAAGGGGACCGTTTGGAAAGACAAAGCTACTCACTTTTATCATTTTCACTATAGTGTATAAGATACAGAATTGAACCCCCGACGTCTGTCTGACGGAGTTTTCTCGTGTTTCCAGCCGAGCAGTCTTCCACGGCGAAGAGGCATCACAGCGGTCACTTCCGGCACGCGACGGCCGAAGTCTGGGATCCTCATCCGCAATACGAATTCACCGCCTTCGGGAGGCGATTTCGCTTGCGGCTGGCGCACGACGCCAGCTTCGTGTCTCCCGACATAAAGGTGAGAAGAACCGATCGAGTGACATTCCTCTCCCTCTCGCTACCGTCATCCTACGTGACTGCCCAAACGGCGATAAAATTATAACCGTCTTTACGACCGCGCTATATGCCTTTGCGAAAACCCGGAGGAGAGAAGTCGAAATGTAACGAGCCGAGGCCGCGACTCCGGTGGGCCGTTTCGCTATTTAATTGACAGCCTTAATTAGCCTTCGCGATGACGTTGACGCAGGTGACGCACATGAGCGAGAACACGACGAGGAGGGAACACGCCGGTCATCACGTGGGCTGCTACTACACCGGGTCAGTCGACGGCGACCCAAGTTCAGCGGTCAGTGTCAGCCTTTGTCACGGAATGGTGAGTCAGAGATCAAGCTTCAGAAAACCGTCGGTCCCCGCGATTCTTTATACGCGCGCAACGCCAGGCTGGTCAATTCCAACCGATTACGAAGATGCTAAATCTACCCGGAGCTCTGCGTTCCGTTCCGGAGTGAGTCGCGGGTTGGGACTGCTAAAGATATTCTCCATATCGGACTGTCGTTACTTTATAGCGAATTCGGTCGCTTGCGCTACTGCGCAACTGAGTGCACACTAAGGCTTGTTTGTAGTCAACATTCTTATATTTAAATTCGTCTTAAGTACACGTTCAAAGAGTATTTAGTCAAAAAATGATCCGCATGAACGCTGTACAGACCATTTTTCTGGATAAGAAATATTTCAAGAGGTCTTTAAGACGATCTTTAAGTATCAAAATTGACAATAAACAAGTCTTAGTGTGCACTCGGTGCGCACTAGTGCAAGCAACCGAATTCGCTATTAGTTGTCGTCGTTAAAAATACACGCGGGCGCCAAATTAATTTTTGGCGGGGCGCCGGAAGTGCCGAGGGAGGAGGGAACGGCCCTCTCGAGTCGCACGTGCGCATAAACGCTATGCACTGCGCTCGATTGCGCACCGATTCACCGCACTTTGTAAATATTTACGGTCCGCGCGGTGCGGCGCGGCGCGTTACGATTGCGCGCTTGCAACACGAGGCTGAAAGATAGCGCCGTTAAAAGGGAGTGTTATCCGTCCGCGCGACCTTTTATCCGAGTTAAACATCAAATTGTTTTACGTCGTCGTAAAACGGTGAAGAAAGTGTTTGACGCGGAACCCAAATTAAATTGACATTCTTCGCGCAAGATGTTTTCGATCCTGTCGGAAAAGATCCCTAGTAGCGCACAGTACATTGGCTAAATATTGGTCCAATGTCGGTTGCATTAGAAATGCACTGGCCGATATTGTCCAGCATCCAAAGCCAATGATGGCCATGGAATAAATGTAAATGTTGCACGATAACAATTATATAATATTTGATTTATATTGGAAGGTGCATTGACCAATATTTAACAACGTAACAAGAGTATTTATCCTGCGAAAAGGGGGTTGGCGAGAGGCTAACAACCCCTCACCGTAAAAATTCACCGTTGCGAATACACACAATGAGCCTCGGACGGAGGCAATTTGTTGTGAAGGCCAGGGCTGCAGAGCCGGTTATGATGATGAATAAGAGCATCGGTCTAATATTGATTCTCTTATTTATATTGACGCAATATTAGACCAATAGTGGCTAAATAAGAGAAGGCGTCCATGTTACAATATTGGACCAAAATTGGGAATACTAGATTTACATTGTTTTCCCAATATTGCGCGCAATATATTGTGCTACTAGGGAACGTTCCTTAAATAAATGTCTCCGGTGTTCTCCTCTCCCGTAAATTGATCATCGGTAGCTTCGTCACTTTCCCCAAACCTCGGGATTCTTTTCATAGCGTTTGAAACGAGCGATCACCACGAGGCGCAGAGTTCATCGACCCTTTTTTCTGGCGCTCGGTGCCTCAAACGCTACCGCGCTGTAAAATGTCTCGTTAGCTGCCGGTGATATGCCAAGGATCGGCGGTAATTTATAATAATAAATAGCATATCGTCGCGTTTACTCACTTTTCTTCTAATTTATAGGCATAATAAATACGCACACGTGGCGTCGGGAGAGAAACTAGAAGTCCCCGCGTTAAAACCTGTAGCTATACTTGCCTCCACTTTCCAAAGGACGGGTATATAAAGCCGCGTTGAGCTTCCGGGAGAGATCGCGATTTTTTTTATGTACCACCCAAACAAACGAAGGACGTTGCACAATGCGAAATTTTACGTAATGGGATTGTTATTGCGTATAATAATGCGAGAATGACACAACAGGTTGCGTCGTTCCCTGAAATTGAGAAAAAGTCCAGTAACGAACGGTGATTTATTTTTCAGTAACAAATGACGGTGGCAAAAAAAAGAGCTGGAGGAGATACACGTACACTACGTGTACATGCGCGAGGATGTCTGAAAATAGTTGCACGCAAAAAATAGGTTCAAGGCCCGCATAGACCCGCAGCCATTAGCCGCGCGTATCGCGCAGGATGGTGTACATTTTATGTGATTTGTTGGATTACACTCGCCGTTCGGCGGAATCGCCTGGTGTCTGACCCAAAAGCCGAAAGAAAAAAGAAAAATAGACGACTCGATCGTATATCAAACACCTCCGGATCGTCCGAGTCGCGCGACTCCGTGAGCCATTCAGCGGGAATGCGCGATTGGTCATCCGCAACACCTACCGCGGCGTTCCATGGGAACGTAGACCGCGATACGATTGGATTTTATATCAGGAGGTGTTAGAGACCGTAGGAGAATTATTTGCGACGCTCCGCGAGCGAATTTATTGCGCGAGACGGCTCGTACATCACTGGAGGCTGGACACGATAGCAGACGTCGTTGCGTTTGCCGCAACGTCCGCCGCGATTGCGAAGGAACTGCGCTCGCTTTTGCGAAATATCGAGGAAATGACAGGCATCTTTACGCGCGCGGAAATTCTACTTGTCGTCCGCCAATCGATTCTGCGAAACGAGCATCCCGTCGAATAAATTAGTCTTCGACATCGTCCGGCACCGTCCGTCTGAAATTTCCTCTCCATCGCAGTCGCTGTGGCGACCCGTTGGACGAGGAGGCCTTTGATGTTTTTTCCCCCATTGTTCCTTACGTCAAATACGTCCTGAAACAGTTTAGAGTTTTCGTCAAAGATCGTTTCTTTCGATTATCTTATGCAAGCCTGAATAAGAAATTCATTAAGACCCATCGAGATTCATTAGGATGCATAAAGATCCTCTGTCAGGTCTTTTTTTTCAGGACGATGCGGTATATAAGATTGATTGCCATGACGTTTCGTTCTCGGGTAGACGGAGGGAGCTATTTCGATGAAAAGAGGATCGAAACGGACTTTTGTGAGAATCGTCACTGACATTTTTGCGTGCGTCAGCAACCGCGCTATACCAAGACCGCTCTCGCGATCCTTTTCGAAACCTCGGTGTTCCTCCTGGGGCGGAAAAAAAAGGGAGCGTCAACGGTATAGGAGAACTTGCTCCTCGCTTGTTTAATGTTCCTCGTAGCGATTTGGGTCACGCTTTAATTTAGCCATGGCAAGGCTAGACCGATCAATCGGCCGTCTGTTTCAGACGTAGAAATAGGAAGAAGCGAGCTGTGCCCTCACGTCTTTACTGTCTCGATAGCGAGCCGAGCCACTCGACCTAATTATTCGACCCTGCTCTCGCGGGACGAGTGAATCTCGGTCGTTATCTCGATCGTTCGCTCTCCTCATCATTTCCCGATATCCGCTAATTCCTCTTATTGCCTTCGATATCTCCCCGCGTCTGAATTGAAAATTGTAAGCTTGCCGTCTTTCCTTTCCGAGCTGATCTCGTTAGACGTCCCATAATTCCAGACCCCGGTTGCGTGTCTTGATAGCTTTGGGAAAAAAAAGTCGGCTCCAATTGAGGTAAAAGGAATCCGCGGGATGGGAAAATATCCGGTAGTTTCGACGGGTATCTTACGTTAACAGTATAAGTGCGCGTAATGTACCGATTTAATGCGCCTTTCGACACGTATGATACACGGTCGAGAGCCGACCGTGCGCGCGTGGCGAGAAATCCAAGATAATTTCGCGTGGCTCCGTAATCAGTCGCGTATCTTTTTATTTGTTTCAATCTCAGTCACGAATCGTCATAATAACAGATTACGCTGTTAGGAGAACCCGAGCTCTGCTATTGCGAATCGTACGGGATTCTGCTGACGAGGCGATCGCGATAACGGATGGGACGATGTCAACATTCTCGTGTCTTATTCTAATGAATATGGGAAAAGCCTATGGACGAGTGTTTAACATAAAATCGTGCTCGATCCACGAGATCGAGGCTTAATTCCTTGTCCCCTTTCGCGCGAGACGCACGTTTTGACAAACGAGGTATCTCACATTTTATATCAGTCTGATATAATTAAGTTTGTTCTCTTCGACCACTTTCGATTGGAAGCCATACATCTTTCCGTGATGTCGGAATTTGCCCGAGATTTCGTGTAACGATTCACAAAATAATTTTCTTTTAGAATGCCAAACAAAATTTCGTAATGATTTTACGTTATAGAAATCATTCTGTTTTATCAAGAAGAAGAAAAAAGGTAAAGCGATTGTTTTTTCATATCAGGAGGCCTCCCCCAACTTCTCGACTTTTACTTTTCATGAAAAACTTGATGCCATTGTGTACCACGAACAATCTTTTTAAATTGCTAAAATGTTTGCAGCTCTCGAAGCACCCGATTCCCTAAGAAACTCGATATTGTTTTTTCGGCACGGAACGGCATCATGAGAACGCAAATCCGCAAGTTCTACTCGAGCCGGTACGACCAGTTTTGGATCGACCCGACGACCTTGACAGAAATGTGTAATATAATAGGCGGAATTAATTGGAAATATTTTGTCTGTGATGACATTTTGTTGCGGCCTTAACGAGGATCACCTCATCACGAAAGACAGACTGCGGATACGCCGGATTTTATTTGTGTACCGTACAACAGCGAGGCGATGCACGGGCTCTGCGTAATTAGTTTAATTTAGATATTTGTTTGCTGAACGACGACGCTCGACAATTGTCGCTCATCGAAAAAGTTTCCTCTCTACCCTCTGTTTCTGTTTCGGTTAAGATAAAATGCGTTAAGATAAGACACGAGCGTTTCTTTCAGATATATCACAAGTGAATGTGAAGTTAAAAGTTTAAAGAACCCGTGACGCGCGCGATTGGAAGCATAATATATTCTATTGCGAGAGACAGTTCGAACGTTTAACGTTATTGTTAGCGATGTCTCGAATAATTCTATAGAACTTTGAAACATCGCGTCAAAAATAATTAGGTATTTAAATTAGATAAAGTATTAAGATCGCTGTTTGCGTTGAAAAAAGATTCTCCCCGAGTCTGTTTAAAGGAATATGATTCTGTCGAAGGGTCCGAAAGAGCTGAAATTTACGTTTAATATTAAAATATTCAGACGCGTTCTTGTCTCGAATTACTGCAGTCTATTATTGTCTCCGTTCGTACAGGCCCCGGCGCAAGGCGCGTTACAGCCAGGCACCTTTTATTATGATGTATTATGCCCCGCGTATTAAGCGGAACCTAAATAAAGATAACTCTGGCCTGGCCTGGTACCCTAACCGCCTTTATAATTTAAGCCGGGCGGCTCTGCACGGGCGGAACGTTATACGCCGCGCACACGTGGTGTCTCGCATATTTTTTCTTTCCGGTAATGCGGCTCGGGGCATCTTTCCGGTATTAATGGCTGATAGCGCTATTTTTTAACCCTGTCGTCGCGACGCGGTTTTTGATGTTTTGGCATATAAACACGGCGTGGAAACGACGTCAAAACAATCGGCAATACGCAAACTCAATGCACGGCGTTCGGAAACGAAAGCGCCGGTCGTAGGCGCGAGGGAAATAGGATGCGGTCAGCGTTTTTATGCCTCGCCGTTGTGCAGCTGGGTATGCTTGCTCATGACCTGACGTTGCTTCCACTCGCGGAAATATCCGCGAGATACCTGAAAATGTACTAGCTTCTGTATTTCATTCTCTCGAGATCCCCGCGTTTTCCTCCGCGCGCGACAGCCGTGTTGAACTACGATGTCAGAAGTGAGAGAGAAAGTCACGAGTAAATTCCCTCTTCTTGCTTCTTTCTAATCTCTTCCAGATATATTTTCGTGAAAGAGAGTGAAGACATTTAAGGCGATTACGGCGAACGAATCTTATGTAAACACCGTTCCCGAATGTCCGCCTAAATGCGGCTGTATTTTTGGCGTTTCGCATTATTAATTAACGAGCGGCATTTTCGCTGAATGACGTGAGGGGGCAACGTTGAATCGACTCGGCTCGTCGAAAGGTCGATGAATTGCTTCAGCGGATAATCGCGAGGTCGTTACCAGCCTGTAGTTGTGTTGGGCTCGATCGAAAAGGCAAAAAGGGAGATGGGCGAGAGAAAGGATAAGATACAGAGACGGAGGGAGACGGGGAGAAAAACGGCGTTCCTGCCAAGAGTTCTCGGTAATCCTCAAGTCGGTCTTTGTGCCGTGGAATAGAGAAGGCGCATGTCTGCAAGAATGCAAATCGCAAGCACAAGCGAATCGAGCGGAGCGTATACGAGCCGCGTTGCTTACGGCCGATGATTGTACCTAGCGTCACGTAAAGTTTCATTCACGTTATCTGCGCGCCGCGACGTACGAGCGATCTCGCGCGGGGAAAACGCCTCTCCTTCTCGTTTCGTCGGATAAACTTTGAATTTGCGTTGAGAAGTCTCGTGTCGTTGTAACTTGCCGATTTTCTTCACCTGCTATCAGAATTCCATGCGATAACGTGAGCTTTCGTTCCATTGGTCCCTTTAGCGTTTTTACAAAAATTTCGCTCCAAAGCTCGAGAAACTTAGCGCTATTCATATACTAACTGTTAAGGTCCGGTTTCACCAACGTTGTTTAACTTTAAGCTTGGCGTAATTCGTTCTTTGTCTCCTTCCAACTGTTACTTTAGAAAGAGAGAGAGAAACGTTAATTAAACTAAGATTACAGTTAAGCGACGTTTGATAAAACCGGGCCTAAGCTGTCGCGATTCTCAATTTTATCGCTCGGGAGTTCGACGGGAAATCTCGTTGTGTAACATCGAGCGATTATTATGCCGAAGAGCGCTCTCGCTCCCGTACGGAATGCGTGTTTAACCGAATTACTCGGCCGAGATCTTTGATAATGTAACTAGAATAAAATTTCACGCGCTATAAGTCACAAGTATTTGAAATAGGTGAGGCCTGGCGCGTTCCTCTCGCGGCGCACGTGCGCGAGTACAGCCGAGAGTCTGTATTCCCGAAAAAATAAATAGATCAGAGAGTTCATCTCCGTTAGAATGTTTAATCGAGGAAGTTAACGTATCGTAGTTGGCGGGATAGGATAACAACGGGTGGCGCTTCGTTTGTAAATAGCGCTCTCCTAATAGCGTCTGTATAAGTCGCCGCTACTTAAAATAAACGCGAACCGAATCTTCTCTTATTTCACGTAAACGCGCAATGCGTAATAATCCGTTCGATTACACGGAACGTCGCAATTTATAAATAATTTCAACGTGATTCCCGTCCGATCGTTAATCGAAATGATTTATCTCGAGCCAGAGGTTCTTTCCGACTCGGAAAAATATTAATCCCCAGAAACGCAAAGCCTTGTATGCGTTGCATATGAAAAATATCTTATTCTACAAGTGGATTTTTTCAAACGAGATTTTACAAACTAGGATCGTGCACCGTCATGTGCTTGTACGTGTTTCAAAAATTCTATTGTGATTTCCAGACCGGTCACATGAAGACGTCGATGGGCAGCTACTTCATCAAACCTACCGAACACTGGCGCGAGGACGACAAGGATTCTCTCGGATCTTCGTTGCAGCACGCGATCTACCGCTCGCCCACGCCTGCGATCAATTTGAACGACGACTTTGACGCTCCCGAAAATGCAGTTAAAAGCCGCAACTGCGGCGTGATAGGTGAATAAGAAGTGTCCCGGCTGGTCCCGATTTCATTTCGATACTACGATACGTTATCCGTTCGGTATGTGGGGTAATTCGTTAGTGACACGGCCGGGAAAAGGGGGTCATTGTGCGCGAGGAAGCGAGTTCGAAAGAATGCAGAAGAAATTGAAGCCGACGAATCCGTTTCAACGGCGGCTACCGAGATAAACCGATGTGTCTTTAGTATTTTATCGAGCGAAATAGACGTCTTGATATTTCACGTTATAGAAACGAGTTTATCTCTGTCGCTTTTTAACAGAATGAGAAAATTATTCGTCATTATTATTCATTTACATTATAATTATATCTGAAATTTGACACGCATTGATGATCAAATTAACATATTCATGTATTCGTACGAGTATCGTTAACAAGTATTGACATAAAATATCCATAGCATATTAATACCGGTCGCAATAGCGTATTAATACTGGTTCCATCATTGGCCGAAGGTAACGAGGGTAAATCGAGAGGCATTTATTTATTTTACCGCCGCGCCGGGCCACAGTCTCCGCGATATCCACGGTTATTCCGATATGAAACGCATGTTCACGTGCTTCACGAGGCTCCGAAGAAAAAGCGTCGCGTCTTTTTTTCACTCGGCGCATACTCGCACGACCACCTGTACCAAAACAGGTTCAGGCATTTACGTCTTCCCTCGGGCGGATTCTGATGTACCATCGAGACAGCTTGGCGACGCGCGTACTCTCTGCCCACAAAACAACGTCGCTGATACCGCACCGTCGAAATTTTCTCGCCTCCCTTTTCTTTACATCTATCGCCTATTAGGTCTCGTCTATCAAATAATGCCCATCTCGAATCCACGTCCGCGACACGATATCGATGGTTGACTCCAGCGCGCGACATCCCCGCGGATTCTCCCGTTGGTTACCGAATTAATTGATTTGACCGTAATTGGTATTGTTGATGCCCGCAGATTACGACTCGGACGACGTCCCAGCCCCGTTAACGGACGATGGTTCCGCTCGTAAAGTTTACGTCGGGGAGCGCTCGCGGGAGCGTAGATCATTGACGCGGAAAACCGCATCGTTGGAGCGGTTTCCTAGGGAGGAGGAAGAGGAGTACGAGCGATTCACAGAGCTGAGCGAGCACCGCCGGGATTTTTTTCAAAGATTGGATTACGACAGGTATAGGCGCACACGCGGACTTTGTAGATCTTGGAAAGGGATCGGTTTATTTATTCTCAAGATACTTCCAACTGCGATCCTTAAACTTACCGTTAAACCGAGTGATTCTTGAAGCAGACATTTACTACGTTAGTAAGCGAGCCATTCCAGCAATTGATGCAAAAATAAGAAAAGCACAGTGTTATTTCTGGCAACAAAAAAATTAGAAATAAAACGCATAAACGTGCAATAAAAAATAAGAAAAACACTGACGTTCCGTGGATTAAGCGTATAAACGGCAATTTATTTGTTGTACAATTTAAAACGGATTTTAATTTAATGGAATTCTCCCGCAACCTTTTCGCGGAAGAGCCGAGACTCCAATCTTCACGAGGAGCAACGCTTTCTGCATATCCCGGGACGAATTCTGTAGCGCGCGCCTTACGAATTCCAGGTATAATAATGTGGAACGTGAACGTGGCCATCAGAACGAAGAATACGCACAGGACTCGGAGATGGACTCGGATCCCTTCGTGACGTGGAGACCGCGGCGTGCCTTGCCGCGTGAATATTTCATCGAGATCATGGTGGTGGCTGATGCGAAAATGGTGGAATACCATGGCACTGGTTTGGTCGGCTACATTCTTGTTCTGATGAGCACGGTGGGTACATACTCTCTTCAGGCATGATTTAAAAATATTCAATTTCCCAAGTTTCTGCGTTAATATGCCACGACAGCGTTCCCTTACATTTCCCTTACATTAAACAATTATGCACGTTTAATGCGTTTATATACATATAGGATATTACACAACGTGTTTTAACTTTAATGAATTTGAAAGTTATGAATTAATTAACTTAAAATAGCAAGTTTCTATTCAGCGAAACAGAGAAAAAAAAGAGTGATGGATGAATATTCTTTAAATAATTCAAATAGATCGTAGTAACATTTTAACGCTTCTGTCTTGTAAAAGAATAACGCGGTAATTTTTTGATCCCTCGATAAGGATCGAGTAATGCAATACTATTCGTCCTGAAAATAAAGACGAGCTGGACCAGCACGTTCTTTCGAAGTAAATTTCCGATGAAAAAAAAACAGTCAAAAGAGAGGAAGAGGAAGGAGACGGGGGATTCGATGTAATTTGACAATTAGCTTCGTCACGGCGGTCATTACCGAGTACGCCAGTTATGTATCCCACGCGAAGGCCACACCTTACCTTAGGGGGGGGGGCAACATCCTGCGAGGAGTTCGCTTTCACGAACCCACGCCTGTCGTCCGTTCGATGATTCAATCGCGTTTCTCAACAACAATCGATCGACTTTAAGATTCATGAATTCTTTATGAATGAAAGAGAGCGCGAAACAAAAGATTGAAATAGATCCTTTGTGTACACGGTGTCCCAGAATAGACGGACGTCTCTTTTAACATATACATGTATAGAGTCCTTAATCGAGTAAGAAACACAGGGAAGATTCGTGAAGTAAGACTAAGAAAGTAATTTAACAACTAAATTGTTGCAACTGAATTATCGGATATATTCCCATCTGCTCCCCTGGAAGGATAGGTTTCACGGATCTACAAGGACCAGTCTATCGGCAATCCGGTGAGCATTGCGGTGATGAAGATCGTCAAGACCGAGGAAGTGTTCGGCGTCAAGCACAGCGGAAGCGACGGGATCGCCGCGGCCGAAATGTTGAAGCGATTCTGCCAGTGGCAGAAGCACAATAATCCCGACGAACCCTCCCCGGAACATCACGATGCCGCGCTTCTACTGACCAGGTTTGTGTCAGAAAAATCTGTATTATAAAAATGTACGGCCTTGTAGGGCGAAATTTGAAGCGAAAGTTGGTATTTTATATTATCAACAATAAAAGCTAAATTTGTTCTCGTCTGAAACAAATTAAACTTATAGAATGGAATTAAATAACAGAACGATATTGATTGAAAATATATTTACAATTTTATCATCTTATTAAAAAATTGGGGAATAAGTTTGATTAAGGGGGAGACGGCGAATATAAAATAATTGCAAATGACGATTTTCTCGGAGCTTTTCAACTCGATTTAACTCAGATTCGCCGAGACAATTGTCTTGAAAATGAAGATCCGAGGCTTAGGGAAATGCGATATGTGTGCAAACTGAAAATAATTTTCAGAGAAAATCTATGCCACAACCCGCGCCAAAAGCGTTGCGATACTTTGGGCCTGGCCGAGCTGGGTAGAATGTGCTCGCCTGGGTCTTCGTGCGCTATCGTGCAGGATAATGGATTAGCCGCGGCGTTTACCATCGCGCACGAGATTGGTCACGTGTAAGTATATTATCGGTCATAAAGCGTGCGACCTGTATACGGTGTGTTCTTTAAAACTTATACATTACACTATTTAATAAGCCAATCTAAATGCTTTCTGTGAAAGATACATCGTGTTTTCTTCGCAAAAGAACGTTGCTACATATGCCATGAGAGTTGACCGCATCTGATAGAGACTGGAATCTCTGCTTTTGAATCTTTTTTCTCTTTTTACCCATTTTTTAAACATTTATATTTAGAGAAAATACCCGAAATGTATTGCAGGCTTAACATGCCGCACGACGACGACGCCAAGTGCGCGGGTTTCAGGAACCGTTCGGGCGTACACAACGTGATGTCCCGCATGCTGGACGATAATACTTTTCCCTGGGAGTGGTCCAAGTGTTCCCGACACTATGTCACCGAATTTCTCGAGTGAGTCAGTCATTAATTGGCAAATGACTCGGTCATAAACGATGTGCCGGGAGCATTCTGGAAAGAGATCGTTACTAATTGACTCGTGACCTCTGTTTGAGACAGTACGCAATGCGATGTCAGGTTTTGTCTGGTAACAGCGTTGATTTGTCTTTCTGTTCATAACGATATAGCTCGTGGCATCTTTATCCATTAATGATCATTAGACAATGCCTCATCTTTGAGACAAGAGATTTATCAAGTTGATTTTGAAGAATAAATAATCTTCTTTCAACATTTAACTTTCAAATATGTTAAAACTGTCCCAGATAAATAATCGTACTTAATTATTAAAATTGTTCTTGAAAGATTACGTTCTTTAAAAATACAGTCTATACTTAGCGAGAGATACTTGATGGCACGTCTCAAATTAATGATATATTGCGCTTAAATGGTCTTAATCGTGTTAAATAGCTTTGTTTTTTGCCATTATCCCTATCGGGATAATTTAATTATATCGAGTGCTCTTAATTAGACAATTACTTAATTGCTTAAAGATCACTATTAGGCTTAAGTTTAGCGCATTCTAAAACTGCATTTTGAATCATGATTCAAGCGCGAATAGAAAAGCCGAGAATAAACCGTTTGCGTCAAGCGCGCCGATTTCCAGGAAACAGATGTCGGCCAGACAAATCCATTTCGATCGAGAAAGGCAATGTCGCGGAGTTTTTCTATGACATCGAGGAGACGAACCACGAGTCATCGTCGTCGCTTAGAAATCTGGTTTAATGAGATTCTCGACGACTCTTATACACTCGTAATGCGTTTCGCGCGTTGTCACGAGAAATATTCTCGAACTACTTGGGTAAATGAACATCTAAACTCTCTCCCGATTCGCGGAATCGGGAGTCTCTATTAATTTGCAACGATCTTTATTCCAGAGCCGGATATGCCAAAGACTACTTGGGTGAATGAACGTTTAAACTCTCTCCCGATTCGCGGAATCGGGAGTCTGTATTAATTATCAACGATCTTTATTCCAGAGCCGGATATGCCAACTGTTTGCTCGACGAGCCCAGCAAAATGATGGAGAGACAAAACGGTCGGCTACCCGGCGAAGACTATTCGGAGAACAAACAGTGCGAGCTCGTCTTCGGGCAAGGATCCAGAATCTGTCCTCACATGGTGAGTGATGGTAAGTCGAAAACGTTCTCTTCACGCGAATTTGATTGCGGCAGACCTGCGATAATATCGAGGAACAAAAAGTACACTCTACTCTCTCACTTATTTTAATTTCATTCAGTTTGTGTCTTTGGATATTTTACGGATTCGCGGTGTCTTCGCGAAATGAGGAATATCCGATAACGATCGGAAATGTATTCTCCGTTGCAAGTTCAAGCTTGCTTCCAACTTCCCTACTCTGTAGCGCAATTACGACGAAATTCGCTTAAGAATTGAAGTAAATTGAGGGCTTGGTCGGTTACCGGCCAGGCAGTGTGTAGGAGACTGTGGTGCACCGCACCACTGTGGGATCATCATCAGCAGTGTCACACTCAGCACATGCCCTGGGCCGACGGCACACCGTGCGGCTTCGACAAGTGGTGTCATCGCGGCGAGTGCGTCTCGCGCAGAAACCTCGAGCCGGTGCACGGCCAATGGGGCGAGTGGGGAAGGTACGGCGAGTGTTCGCGGACCTGCGGCGGCGGCGTCAAGAGGAAGTATCGCGAGTGCGATAATCCGGCGCCGAAGAACGGCGGCAACTACTGTATCGGCGAGCGCGTAAAGTATCGCAGCTGCGGCACCAGAGAATGTCCGCCAGGTAGCCCAGATTTCAGGTACGTGCTTTAACGCCTAAGGCAGAGAAGAAGACGTACCGCGTAAGTCCGTAAGAACAAAGATCTATCGATTAACTGGCAGGCTGACCGATAAAGCAACGCGAACGTGATTGCTTCGATTAGTCACGCGATAATCCGTTTCACTTGCATTGACATTTAGTCTTTTCCTTTCTTCGCTTTACAGAGAACAACAGTGCTCGAAATTCGACCACAACAACTTCAACATCCAGAATCTCGCCAGAGACGTTAAGTGGCATGCAAAGTATACCAGAAGTAAGCAATGATTTATACACCATTTCTTAATTCGTCCTTTTAATTTATGCGATGAACGTAACGTTCGACCTGCAATTTTCAAGATAATTATGCAAAGATGCGATTTTCTCAAGTTTCTTTTCCCTTCCAGTACTGCCACAAGATCGTTGTAAACTGTACTGCCAAGTGGAGAGCAATCAGTATTACATGTTACGCGACAAGGTGATCGACGGGACACCCTGCGGCCCCGACACTTTTCACATATGCGTCAACGGCCAATGCAAGCCCGCTGGATGCGACCACGTCTTGAATTCGACGGCGGAGCTCGATACCTGCGGGGTCTGCAGAGGCGACAACGCCACTTGTCAGAGGATCACGGGCGCCTACAACGCCAGCGTGTACGGTTACACCAGGGTAGCGAAAATCCCTGCCGGTAGCAGCTACATTGACATTGAACAACACGGATGGCTGGACTCTCACAACGACAGTAATTATCTCGGTAAGAATTTCCTGTATTTTCTTTCCGACAGATTTTTCCATTAACGTGATGGAAGTTTCATATCTAAACAAGTAGCAAGAATACTATCATACAAAGTAATGTATTGTGTCATTTATAGATTTATCACAAACCAAATATTAGATTTCTCCATTTTGTAAATTTCTGAAAACATTTCAACATATTATTATAGCCCTGCGGCTTGGAGAAGATGGCGATTACGTCTTAAATGGGAACTTTATGGTAATGCATCGCAAGGTTATCGTGCATCCTGGCGTCACTATCGAATACAGCGGGCCGGAATCGGTCGTGGAACGACTGAACAGTTCCCGGCCTATCGGCATCGATTTAATTTTGGAGGCAGGTTCACCGTTTACATTTTACAATTGCGTCACTTAGCTAAAAGTAGTTTCTCCGGCGATGCGACTCTGCTTAACCGAGAATACGGAATTCCAGGTATTATCCGTGGGGAACGTTTATCCGCCGCAAATCACGTACGAGTACACCGTACCGAAAATAATTCTAAACAGTTACACGTGGCTGCTCAACGATTGGTCGACCTGCAATCGGATGTGTCAGGGTATGAAGTATCGTAAAGCTGAATGTAGAAGCACCGAGCACAAGGAAGCGGTGCCCGACGCTTACTGCAGAAACGAGGAAAAACCGCAGGAGGAGAGTCACATGTGCAATGCGCATTGTACACTACAGTAAGTAAAGAACGCGCGAAATTTTTGCCTTGCGAGAGACGACTCTAGTCGCGGAATCTTAAAATCGCTTTCAGGTGGCAGACAACTTCCATGTCTGAATGCTCGAATCACTGCGGCCCGGGTGTGCGAAATGTCACCTCGCGATGCGTGCAAATCTTTCTGGACTCGTCGCATCCTCCCCGGTCGATACCAGCGCACGCCTGCTTGCACATCGAGAAACCGAGCAAGCATCAGCCGTGCGTAGGTCCTTGCGACGATGCTCATTGGAGTTACAGCGAATGGAACGCCTGCAGTGTTTCCTGCGGCGGCGGTGTGCAATTGAGAAGCGCGATATGCGTTGATTCAAACGAGAGGCAGGTGCGAGACGAGAACTGCGCTAGACAGGAGAAGCATCTCAAGAGGACGTGCAATCAAGAGGCTTGTCCGAAGTGGGATCTGGGAGAGTGGAATCCGGTAAGATACGAGTTAGAGGCAGTACGTAAGGCGTGATATATTCAAATCTGATATATTAATTCCATATTAATTATAGAGAAACATTTTAATAGAGAACAAAGTAGATTTGCATTTTAAATACATTTCCCTCAAGATCAGTATCTTCTGATAATTAGATACTTATCTGTCACACTTTTAATATTTCACGCAGTGTTTAATAATATTTATGATAATTTGGATTAACGAGTGTCACGTAATGTTTCAGTGTTCCGTGACCTGCGGCGTCGGAAAACGACATAGATCCTCCTGGTGCCAGGTCGAGAATCGCGTGGTATCGCGCACCTTCTGCAGCGCTACGCCGATCGTAACGACAGAGGTCTGCGACGCCGGTCCTTGTCATCAGTGGCATGCCGGCGACTGGAGCCCGGTACAGTATATCGGACAATTTTAAGCCAACGGCACACGATACTATTTTTCCTACTGGATTGCTTACGAGAGCCAATCAGGACGCAGAGTTTTCGATCAGGTGACTCAAAGCTGAATCCTGGTTGGCTCTCGTAAGGAATCCAGTAGGAAAAATAGTATCGTGTGCCGTTGGCTTTATTCCGTAACCGTGCGTTTAACAAGCTACCGGGTTGAGTCTAGTCTCTCGTTGTGCAGTGTTCAGTGACGTGTGGCGAGGGAATATCGCGAAGAAAAGTCGTTTGCAAGAATACAGACGGTGCACCGAGCGACGAATGTCCCATCTCTGAGAAACCAGAGACTTCGGTTACCTGCACGTCAAAGCCATGTCCCAATGTAAGTTTTGACTGTATTTATTTATCTATTTATTAACAGCAGCAATTCTTTGGGACAATAATAGTCGAATTACAAGAGACTCGAATGCACCAAAATGATGTTATTAATAGAATTATCGCAAGATAGAGACCACAAAGTGTTTAGATTTGTGTAAAAAAAAAGAAGAAAACAATATCACTCTCAGTAAAAGCTAATTTAATTATTTCAGCGATAAGATTTTAAATAATAATTTATTAGTAAGAACTACACAACACACAAAGAGCACTAAGAAAATATTTGGACAGCATATTGAAATTAATTACATTTGAAGACCGTGAAAGCAATTAATACCCGTCGCAGTTATTAATTATTTTAAACACTTTCTATAACTCGTAAAAAATGTAACATTTTTCTTAGACGAGCCTGCCGCCGATCACGTACTCCACGAATCCCCCACGTGAAGATTCGTCTCCTCAAGAAAACGAAATCGACAGCAACGGTATTACATTCCACTCGGGTTACAAATGGCACGTAGGATCCTCTTACGGAGAGGTGGGTTTATTTACTGTATTCAATATGTTTATTAGGCTGTACAGCTTATTCATACTCTTTATAGCATTTAAGTTATCAAGTTTGCAGTTTATAAGTGGTAATTCATGTATAGTGTTCGCGAAAGTGCAATGTCGGATACAAAAACAGACTAGTGAGATGTGTATCCTCGGAAACTGGGGAGGTTGCGCCTGACTATTATTGCGACTCTAATCAACAACCGATGGTCAGGATCACCTGCAATCGTCACCCATGTCCGACTTGGAATACCGGCGACTGGAGCGAGGTATTGAAATATTTTTCGTTAATTAATACATCAATTAATACATATGTGAATATTATTTCTTATATACAATTGAACGCGATATAAAATTATGTTGTGTATATTTTTATGCAAACATCTTTCGTGAAAATAGAAATAAAACGTGTAGCGTCTCCTGACTAATGATGTCTTTGATGATTTAGTGCGACGTAGTATGCGGTAATGGATTCCAGCATCGTCAAGTTCGCTGCCAAAGTCATCGCGGTGAAACTTTACCGGATAAGGAATGTAGTGATGAACGACCGAAACACGTGCAAAGGTGCCAGAAGGAATCTTGCAGAAGCAGTCCTAAAAATAATAGGGAAAACAGTTTGGAGTCTAACATCGTTCGCAGATGGAGAATGTCTAATTGGACTCCGGTAAGTAAACCATATTATCTAGGGAATATAATATAAAAATATGGAGAAATATTTCTTGTCAATTGTCTTTTTTGACACTTTAATCTCTGAATACTCAAGAAGCTTCAATATGCAATAGACAAATCTTTCTACAATTAAAAGACATGATAAGCGATTAAGTTAAAGTTATTTTATCGGAATGTATCTTTATATGAAGAATCAATGAAGAAAACAATACATAGGTACTTAAAAAATAGTGACGAACGGAGCATCGTTTTAGGAAGACCATTTTTAAATGAAATGCCCCAAACGAGAGTTCTCTTAATTCATCCTATTTTAGTGAGCCAAAAACGTAATAAAACGGTTAAAACAATTTGGTGGAATTCTATCGTATGTGAACATGCGAGACCGGGCAACAGTGGGTGTCGAATGCTGAATTTTACCATCGCGGTGAATAGATCAGTTTGCACCGAAACGAAATATTTTGCAGTGCTCAAAATCATGCGGCACCGGGATTCAGACGCGAAGGGTGGAATGTACGATGAGAAGAGGCAACCATGGGCCGGAAATACCCGTTAAGGACGAGCAGTGCCTGAGATCAAAATTGCGCAAACCAAAATCGCAGAGATTATGCCAACGCATTGCCTGCGATTTTATCTGGCAAGAAGGCACCTGGTCGGAGGTATTTTATACCTCAACCTTTACGCCAGCACTGTTAATCGTACTTGCTGCTATGCTCGATTTTATAAACATTTCACAATTGTGATTAAAAAATATGAAAAATCAAATTTACACGCACGCGAATGTTGGTGTATATACAGCAAGGGGGAATAGTAATTATTGCAACGATGGCACAAATAACTAATCCTAATTGATACATGGACAATGGGTTTCATAGATACTATGGTGAATTATGGAAGATGCATGGCACCTTGATAACACAGGATTATTATCAGACCCATGCGAGATGCTCGCAATTTAACATCTTTAAAACGACGAACTTTTTCCATGCATGTTATTAATCTCACATTACATTTATTGAGAAATACGTATAGAGAGTGTTTTCCATTTAATGAGTGTAAAATTATAATTTTTTTTATCACTAACGTGTGTAAAATTTGCACTCCGCCTAGCAGAGTTCAGGAATGTTACCGTATTCGTAATATTCATGCATAATACTAATATCAGTAAAACATACTGGGATGGTAAAACGCCGCACATTATGCAGCTGTACTATATAAGATAATATCGTATAACCACTGGTCGTTTATGGTTTTAATAAATTGATAATGATCTAGAATATATAATAGCTATACCTATGTATATTCTTGTTTCAGATTACGCATGAGCATGGACCCCTTTTAAATTGATATCATAATTTTGTATTATAATGAGAGAATGTATCTTATTGTCCCGGTTCAAGCGAACCATCGGCCAGTTGTCAACAGACTAGAAGATTTAAGCGAAAATGGCATATTTAATTTGAATCGAGATTACATTCATAATCGTCGCATAAAATTGCAATTGTTTCCAGCGAATGTTAAAATATTGTCGGGAGATAAACAACATTTTTGCAACTACATTTAATAATTGTCCGTGATAATTTGCAATACCGATATATTCTTTTATTATGATATTTATTTTTGTTGCAATGAACAATTATTTAATGTAATAAAAACAAAAGAGGCTTATGCATATGTATATTTTCATGCAAGTGTTCGGCGGAATGTGGTGAAGGAATACAACGCCGTGAGGTCACTTGTCATCGAGTAAATCTCTACGGATGGATTGATCCAACTCCAACGGAAGGTTGCCAGATGGATGAGAGGTCGGTCAGCGAGCAGATTTGTAAGCTGCGCGAGTGCAGCGATGAATATTATTGGACTGCAGGCCCTTGGAAAAAAGTGAGTTCATTGTTTGAAATACTATTCTAAAATCAATGTCATTCTACCCTCTTCTCCATCTTTTCATTTTCAATTTAACTCTTGTATTTTCCTCAGCATTTATTTTTCTTTCGCGTTTCCATAGTGTAATCATCCTTGCGGACGCAAAGGGCGGCAGATTCGTAGACTTTACTGCCACGATGCATCCGGCAGGAAGGTAGCGCGGATTCATTGTCCAGCAGAACACAAGCCACAACGCAGGCGTAAGTGCAATCAAAGGAGATGCGGTCCAGTCACCTGTCTCGAGATCCAGAAACGACTCAAGGTTACCACGGATGGTGAATATCCACTGTTAATCGGTGGTAGAAATATGACAATTTATTGTCACGGAATGTCGAGCGCCGAGCCACGAGAGTACCTGACTTTACCAGCTGGCGACAGCGAGAACTACGCGGAAATATACGACAAAAGGTTGACGAACTATTATTTTATTCTCGATATTTAAAGCATTACTCCCTCAACAATTCATTAACTTCACACTACCTCTTGTAATGATGTGATTTCGATGTATCAGATTAAGAAACCCTCATACGTGTCCGTTCAATGGTCAAAGAAACGACAGTTGCAACTGCGTATCCGAACGGGGGACGATATCTGGCAGAACGATGTTCAAGAGGGTACGCATAGATCCAACGACACTCTACATTATAGGTAAGCATGTTTTTTCAGTTTATAGACTCATACTTCGAGTCTAAGTTTTAATCATAGAAAATTTGGAAATTCCAAGTACATGTACAGCGGCGATCGTATTTTGGAGAGGACGAGGGAAGAGAAAATATGTTTATGAAGTTTTAATTGTCATTACATTTTATTACATACATTGCATTTATTATGTACACTTGATACATTGAGATGTTTTATGTTTAGCGAACGATTACACATTTTCGTGGACGAAAGGAATGCAACGCGTGGAATATGGCAAAGCCGGCGATTGCTACAGCCTCACCGAATGTCCACAAGGACGTTTCAGCATTGACCTGAGAGGAACTGCCTTGGGGCTATCATCAGAAATTACATGGGTTAAAGAAACCTCAAATGCTTATCTCGCAATCAATAGAATTGTAAGTAATTAGTCTTTAAAAAGAGATCACCGAGCCAGATTTCAGATTTTGATACGTTTACTGTTTGTTTTATATTGCTATTTATTGTTTTACATTTTTACATCTTACGCACACATATGCAAAAGTGCAAACAAAATTAATACACTTTCGAAAAATAATGTAATCATTTGGTTTTAATGTACTTTCTAAAATTTCAAGTTTCAATCGACCTCAGCTGGCCACATTTATTAAATACGCTTCACAACGTTGCGACCTTTGGTTTAGCTCCTTATCAAGTAAGATCTAAGAGTAAATGTTTTACATACAGTTTACGTGAGAAGTGATTTTATTTAAACTTAATAAAAAGCAACAAATTAAAAATGCAAAGAATGTTCTTTCTGTCTCTAGATTATAATTTGTGAGAATATACTCTAATACATATTCTTTCTGTTATTTAGAATAATCAACGAATCGTCGGCAAATGCGGCGGTTATTGCGGCTTCTGCAAGCCGAGGACGGGCCTAAAGCTGGACGTATTACCTCCCTAGTCACAGCCATCAACTTTTGGTACTTCATTTACATGTTCTATGATGCCGCGAGTCGCGAGTCGCGGTATCATAACCACCGATTTGCTTTAAATTCGATTAGTTTCTTAGTAGCACCCGGAAGAAAGTATATATATTTTTTTTCAATATACGTATATATATATATTGGAGATAGGGATTAACGATACCGAAACTCACACTGGAACGGCGACCAATACAACGGAATGCACATGACACGATGTACAATCTATCACTGCCGTCACGCATGTGCGACTATATTAAAATTACAAGGTACAATTACGTGTTTGTGGGGAACGTGTCTCTACGGATGCAAAATTAGAAAGTTTGCAACTAGGAAAAAAAAAGAAAGCGAGCGATATTACCATTCTAGTATTTTCATAATTGGAGCCGTTTCCTCGCAAATCGAATTTCCAGCAGTCGTAACGATATCGATACGAATAGTAATCGTAATATGCATTTTATATACAAACTTGAAGTAATTGATAATGGTATCATATTCTACGAACACCACGATTAATGTTGTGCTCTCTTTCGATGATCTTACAATCCTACAGTTTGCTTTTATCGTGATGCCACTGCCGTTTTCTACAATACCCCATCGATTTTAAAAAGGGAAGAGACATTAAGGAGAATTGATACCTTATTTTTACTTTTGACAATAAAGTATCAATATAGAGTATATAAGTACAACAGAGGTGAGTATCTTGATTAGCATCTTGGTGCTACAGCAATTAACAATTTATAGCATCCAGATAGAAAGAAAGAAACAAAATACTCGAGTTTATGATTCTTACGCAAGTTGGACATCTTATGTAATGTTTTCTGCCTACAATGAGCTGTAGAAACATACTCGTAAAACTTGTTAAACAAGCTGTAGGATATTATTTTTCCCCTTTTTACTTGCATCGCGCGCGTATAGGTGAATATTGTCCGTTTTATCTCGAAGGTATCGCAGTAACATTGATAAGCATAGACGTGCGTAAAATGAATAAATCTACTAGTAAACTTTACAGTGTACGCGTGTAAAGTAGTTTGAAAATCGTATATAGGTACATACACTGTGTCTATTAGTGATTAACGCACGACATAGTTTCGTCTCACGTCTAGAAAAGAAATATTATGTAGAACGTTACGAAATGATTTTCCAAACTGTCTCTACAAGTACTTAGGACACATTGAAGCTGTTTCTTCCTTGATGATTGTCTACGCGACTGATCTCTGGTCGCTGGGCAAATATATTTTTTCACGGTGCATTTGAAGAGACTAACTGAGGCTCAACGACTCTCTCTTTTACGAAGAAAACGTTTTCGTTAAAGATTCGACTTCAAATTGGTCGAAAATGAATGAAGTTTGTGAAAGGCCAACGACGTACCGCAACCCCAATGAAGATCAAGCACAAAATTATTTTTTTAGCTTTACGTAAAATCGTAGGCGTAGGTACAATCGTGTTACGTTACTGAAGCAAATGCACGTAATTTGTACAAAAGCATATAATATTTATACTAATGAAGTAGCAGTAAGGAAACTTTATTCGTATTTTATCGCGCCGCATCAACTTAGGAAATGATGTCGATGTGAATGCGGTGCCGATTAGTCTTTTTACATTAAACAACCAACAAGATTGGTCAGTACAATAAATCGCCTTTCTCTAACGATTGCGACACTCGCGTCACTAGATATGAGTGTTAAAGCGCCGGGCTTTGCACGGACGCTTTACAACTCGGACGCCTGTTAGTTATACAGATACAGCGTATTTCGACAGACTGCCATAGTTAATATTATTATATATATGGTATATGTATACGTAATTGTTAAGTGTATAATCTGCCAATCTTGGCCACGTTGTAGCATAATAAGATTTAACGATGACGGGAGATAGTGCGGTCTATCTCGTAAGAGCGAGTATGAACGCATTTGTTAAGATAAGCATTTCCGAAGTGCCGAAAAATTAACGATGTTAGTCACGGTAATGTAAAAACTTTATGTGTGTAGGAACGCGATATTTACTTAATTTCTTGTATTAACGTTAGCAAAGTTAGTGGCGGACGGTGCTGTTTCAGATTGCATTACGTGTGTGTTGTCAAGGCGGAGGCGTTATTTCGCGTATGCCCTAAATACACGTCCTGAACGTGCCGAATTTTATGGGGCTTGTACGACGCCTACTGTAGAGCAATACACAGCTCGCAGCATCCCCGACTCGACTTTGCAGACGATATAACTGCCGCAGGACCGATTTACGAGCGCGGAGGAAGGCACGCTGTGCCGCGAGCATACATATCTAATGTCGTAGGCAGCTAATTGATCGGTTGTTGCTCGATAATTAAACACACGCATGAGAATCTGTTGTTTTGCAATTCTATCAACGTTTTACGTAATGTATATTAAACGTCATAAATGTTCTGGTGCCTAATAAATGGGCATCTTCGCGAACACATCTCCATTATCATGATACACAGGATCCCACGTTCTTCTTATTATAGATTTTTTTATTGAGTTGCTGTTTCTTTACTTTCAACGAAAATATTGACATACAACTGTTGAATAATTGACGATTAAAGATCAAATTAAGTTTCAGGAAAAAAAATTGATAAAGTTATATTCTTTAGTTAAAAATTTAAATGAGCTTTATTTTAATCCAAATTTTTTTACATGTAGCTGCGCAGACATATATAAAATCAAAGATTGTAAAGATAATTGGCAATCATTAATTTCTCTCAACAATCTCATCGAATCGCCTTCGAATTAGCCTAAAGAACTATTGGAAGAACGTGCGATGCTTCTGTTTGTGTATCATGATAACTTGTGTTATAAAAATAAAAAGCATTGGATATAATAATTAATCATTGACGATCCGCTTTTTATATGTTTTTTATTTTATTCTGTAGGTGTAAAGCGATATAATAGAATCGTTTGATTAATAGGCGTAATTTCAAAGACTCCCTTCAATTTAGAAGCTATTTTAATTGTTGGGACAAAACCGGATACTCAAAATTTATCGACACACATCTAGGAATCATTGATTATATTTAATTAAGTTTGTGAGATATAAGAAGCGATCCAGAAAGTACTCCTTCAGTGAATTCTGTAGACGTTTATGTACGTACATATAACGTTTAAGGTTCACGAATGCATACGATTTCGCTAGCCTTTTTTCAGTAATTAATAATCCCTTTACTGCCAATCACGAGTATTTCTTTGCATTCATGGCAATTGTACATTCTATATAAATTTTAAACAAATCACGAGATATACTTCCGTTTACTTTATAACGCATTTAGTTCTAGCAAAACTAGTTCTCGAGAGAATCAGTATAAATACCGGCTTTTGCAATGTGACGTGTGATCGTGAACATTCTATGTGAACCAGTGTATATCCAAATAAAATGTGAAAATTTTAGATAGTGCAACCCCCCTTGCCAATTGTAGTCTCCTAGTGCTCCTTTGTCGAGTTTTAAGAATGTGAATTTCCTTGCACAACCTTCTTACTTATTATATTCTCCCGATACTTTGTCGATTTGTAATACAATTTTATTTGGCGTAACCTCGCTGATTATATTCTTCTCGACTTTTGTGGATACAATTTTTGTCAACGCAAGACAATTATAACAGAGATTAGTTAAGTCACAGATCATCCGTACGGTCGATTTTAATTTTGTCGACTATCGTTTAATCACCCATATTGTATAAATACCTATTACTGTAATACCAGAGTTTTGGTAAAATTTTATTCTTAAAAGGCGAAAAAGTATCAGGAGAATATAATCAGCGAGGATGTTAGACTATCTAAAATACCAAGATATGTAAGAATCGCGATTCCAAGTATTGCTGCAATCTTCCACTTTACACGTCACCGAATTATTGACAACGGTTTGAATTCTTAAACATTAACAGATTCAGAATAGTATAATTAAACACGAGTCGTATTAATTAAGAACTTTGAGATTACGGACTGATTCTGCGTTAAAAATTTCGTCGATTATCGACGCTTATCAGTCGCGAAAATCCTTGAAATTTCGGGCGTCGAACGCCGAGCATCGGTTCCGAGAAATGACGTAGCGCCGTAAAAACTTTGATCGTAAACAGTCTACGCCCGTTGTACGTATTCATTCACGCGGCGGCAGTCGAACGGGTCGGTTCGCGTCCCGCGCCGCGCTCCGCATACCGTGTTTTTCCTTGATACGCGTTCGCGACAAACACGGGAGGAAGAAATCAGCGATTCGCTATCGACGCCCGGTTAACCGGCAAGCAGATATCTCGCGTGATTCGCACGTGAAGTCTGTACGTCGAGAAATCAAAGCGCTAGCCAACTTGTAATTACCTCGTCTTCGCGATAACGACGGACGATAATTGTTTCGTTAAACTACGCTCGTATTCGGATTCATCTCGTATCGAATCTCGTCGCATTGAATCTCTTGTAGCTTCGAGTATAATTGGTTGAAAGCGCGAAATAATACGCTGTAACTGTAGTGACAATCGCTGAACGAAGTAAATTGAGAGCGAGCGAGAGAGAGAGAGAGAGAGAGAATATCAGGTATAGAATTGTTAACATATTTGTTTCATATTTCGCAGGCGGCTAACGAATTCTCAACGTGTTTTTGTACGTTTTTTTGCCCGCGCGGTATCGTGCGACGCGTCGTTCCGCCCGCTATTGTGTAGGTCAAGGTCGGCGCGTCATCATTCGCTCGCCGAACCTCGGGCGGGCAGGCAGCGTCGAGAGTCGCTCCCCGTGCGCCGTACTTTTACGTTATTAATTTCGGAAACACGATCGCGCCACGAACACGGGGATAAAGCTCTATTCATTTGTACGCCTTTATCGGTAACGAGTATAATGCGTGGTCTACAATACGTGGAGTAAGCGTGGAGTAAGGAGTAAGGGAGAACTCTAACTTCTAGCTTTTGGTGTAAGGAAGCTGAAATACGGGCATGATTTTTAAAATAATTGTAACACTGATTGATGGCATTTTGATTTACCGAGAGTAAGCCTAAGAGCTGAAGTAGGAGTAAGAAATAAAATGGATTTATTTAATTCCTTACTCCTACTCCTTACTCCAGCTTACTCCATGTATTGTAGACCAGCCTTCACGTTTGTCGACTGATTATCAGGTATTCGACAACTTGTAAAGGGAACCGAATTACACGTCGAGGCGACGGCTCTTTATCCGCGTATATAGATACTTCGCGAGACTAGCCTATCTAATAAAATATGAATGTAAATCGTGATACTCGATCGTGATTACATCTCGTTTACGCGTCGCGCTTTGAGTTATCTGTCGGTTTCAGGGTATTCTGTCTTTCGGTTTCGAGAAACTTCGATTCGGTATCCAGAAACGATAGAAGTTTGTTGGCGCGCGGCTTTAGTGCCCGCGTCGTTTGCTGCATTTCGTTCTGTTACACTTCGTAGCTGAAACAGGCAGGAAGTAGGGAAAGGCGCTACGTTATAGCTGCTCGAAATATAACCAAGAATTGTCTTGGTTACAATTAATAGACTCGAGCGTAGCGAGTGCTTCGCTCGCGCAATTCATTTCGCGTAAGGGTTAGATTGCTCGACAAATCGGATTGTAAAATGTCGTTTCGTCGTGGATCAGCAACTACTTTAACGCAGCTAGATGCTTTGATTTCGACACTCGCGTCGCATTTTATATCGTAAAAGCGATTTCTTCGTCGCTGCTTTCGATTCGAGGATGCAAAGTGACACGCGAGTTGCCGGTTTGAATGATTTGCGTGACGGAAAGTCACACTTTGTGCGTTGTGCGGTATTTCACGTCGCGTACGGGAGTGTCGCGCAAAATTTCGCGCGCTCGCAAGTTAATCAAACTCGCGAGTGAATATTGTGCGAGTGCAACAAGAAAATCTGAGAGGAGAAGGAGAGGCCTGGGAGGCATCGGGCAACGGCGGAGCAACCGTGAGGTGAGTGTTTTATTTTCTATATAATATCCCTGGTGAAAATAGAATTCGGAGCGTAAATCGAACGTAAGGGGAGAGTGACAGAAGCGTAAACGAAATGTGTAGGAAACGTAATTTGGAACAGCGAAGCGTAAAAGAAGCGTTTGAGGTTTCTTTTACGCCTCGCTGTTCCAAATTACGCTTCCTACACATTTCGTTTACGCTTGCGTCACTCTTCCCTTACGTTTGATTTACGCTCCAATTTTTATTTTCACCAGGGATATTATTTGCTACCTGCAAAATTAGTATCTACTCGGTCTGTTTTATTTATTCAAATCATTTGAACAAGAGTTACACACGAAAATATACGCGGAAAACTTGTGAGTTTATATTTTAAAGAGATTTCTTTCGAGTACTTTATAATTATTTCATTAAATATCCATTTAAAGAATATATAAAATATTCAATGCGATAATTTCGAGTTTAAATAATTATTCTATAATAATGAAATATCATATATTTGTATTTTACAGTTCAACGTAGTTTACGAGATCGACAACTCCGCTGCTGCGCTTCGTATCGCGGTGAGTGATAAACGTTTTATTTAAAACATGTATATAATGGATCTATTGTACCTAAGAGCTGCATTAAATCTACATTATGCAGCGAACGACATATTTATGTATATCGAAGGTAATAATGTGAAATAAAAATAAATTGTGTACAAATAAAATAGGCGGTAAAAGGGGATGAGAGAAAACTTCAAGCATTTCAATTGCAAAAACTCCATTTTATTATATTTTCGTTTGCGAATACAAGACTAGTCTTGTATTTGCATCAATGTGCCTCGTGTAAATTATTTTCACTTTATTATTGTAAAACCACGATAGTACGTCTTTGTACTAATTCTTAAATTATGAAAATTCCGCGTCTTTTTATATATCGTGTAGCTTCAACGACTGCTTTCGAGAGCATAAAGATAGCGTTGAATTTTTTAGTTGGCTTTCTCAATTCTTCCATTGATGAAAAAATAAAACTTGTTACGCTACAAATTAAAATCATACAAATTTTATCATCCAAAACGATCTTAAGATTGTTTACCAAAAAACTTTTACTTCCTTCGCTAACTTAACAACAATATAATGCCGTACGTAAGGAAAAATGTTCGCGATCTTCGTTTACGTCGCATTTACAATTAGAAATAATTAACTAATAAGAAATCCTCAATGTCGCCAGCGATAATTAACAGTGTTTTCTTGGCCATACCTGGCATCTTTAATAATACAGAAAATTTATTGCGAAAAATATTACCTCGGCCAGGGTTTGAACCTGCACTGAGAAAAGTCTTTGAAAATTGATTTGTGGCATATAATGTTTATTTTAATAAAATAAACGCATTATATTTTATTAAAATAAACATTATTTAAAGCATATAATGCTTCTTTCACTGAAGTAAACATTATATGCCACAAATAAATTTTCAAAGACTTTTTCAGTGTGGACTTCCCTGCCTCGGCGACCGAATTGTTGAGACGCCCGCCTAGAGTGTAGGGAGGTCCGGGATCAAACCGTGGCTGAGGCAAATTTTTCGCAATAAATTTTCTGTATCATTAAAGATGCCAGGTATGGCCAAGAAAACGCCGACGTTGTTGGAAATAATTAATTCGAAGAGAAACAAAAATGTTTAGTATCCCAGAAGGAGGGATTAGGAGTTAGAGGGCAGGGTTTCATTAATAAATATGCGCGCAAGTGAACATGTGAACATGAAAGAGATACCATTTATTTAGCTTATAAGAACGAACAAGTAAATTTACGTAGGAAGGACACTTTGAGTAAAACACATTTTCTAATCGTCGTAGTGTTCGAACATAAAAAGGAGAATAAAACGGATTAATAAAAAAAAACCGGGAAAGAGAACGATCATCTTCGCCGATTCTAGATTTCGCTCGAACAGCATCACGCTCGCAGACGCCATGAAACGATCTATCGGGAATTACTAAATGTCTCTCAAAGCGAAAGCACGTGGATACGCGTCTCCTACTTGACATTCACGTACGCGTAATACATATTTATATATTTATATTCATATATAGATATATTCATATACTAGAGCGAGGGAAAAAAAAACAGATAAAGTAACTGACTCCGAAGAGGGACGCGCATTAAACATGCCTTTCTCTCAACTCTCTTCTACAATGTAAGTCTAAACGGGCGTTTAATAAACTAGTAAAGTACAAACAGTTCCATTATAAGAGAAAGAGAGAGAGAGAGATAGTACATTAAGCTCAGGTTTTACATACTTACGACTACGATTTTAACAAAAAAAAACGTGGTTTTGTACGCTCAACTTCGCGCCTCGCACAAATCGCGCTTAGCCACCCTCCGAACCTTGGAATTCGAAGGTCCGTTTCATTCGGATTGACCTTTTAGGATCGCGGCGGAAATCCGATTAGCTCGATCGGCGATTAACTTATCGAGCAACATTGTTTTTCTTTCTTAACGCGAAGGAGATCATTGATCTTCC